AACCATTACTTTACTAGGGTCAAGGGGAAGTTTGAGGGACTACTTGGAGGGGGTTTAAAAAACACATGTTTTCTTTGTCCAAAGGACCGGCACATCGATCAAATGTTCTACAACTCTACGTGTCTTGGACGAGAAGAATGGCCGACGTGACGGCCACGACGGTCGCCAGCGACACGGTTGGTGCACTGGATGGCGCAACCGCGGGTGTCTTTGGGACGCCGGTGGTGGACGCCGCCGATGATATTGGTAGCGCTGTCATGGGGCTTGTGGTCGCAGGGCCGGTCGCCGCTGTTGGCGTCGTCGCGTCGCAAAGCCCGGCGTACTCTTGGCCGTTCGAACACGTTGTCGTCGTCGACGCCATCGTGACGACGCTGACGCAGGCAGGCACGGCGCAGAGGGCAGCGGTGTGGGCCTTGTCGAGCGCATCCAAAGTCAAGTTGGACGTCGCCAGGCACGTCTTGAGCGTCTGGACGCCGGCCTTCTCGAGAAGAACTCCGCGGTCACACGGGAGGCGGCCGTCAATCGCACTCACAACAGCCAGCGCATTGAGCCCAAGCGCAAGCGATGAGAGACGCATTGTGCTGCTCGTTTTTTCCAAAATGGTCTGATTACACAGATGGACGCGACATCTGATTGGTCCGTTTTGACCCGTGTCAAGCAGCTGCGCGACTCAGACGACGACGTCGTGTCTTGGTTCCTCGGACGAAGCCCATCACACCAGTGTACATACCTCGTTGAGCCATCCTCGTACCGGCAGGTCAGCTGAGTTGCTAGAGAGAAATAAGCTCAAGCTGCCGATATGAACCCCCAGCTGCACCGAGCCCCGTGTCAGCGGCCTTATCCTCACCGCAATCTCCAGTTCTGTCCTTTGTCCGTGCGCTGCCACATGACATTGCCCTTTCTGCTATTTCCCACATAGTACAGCTTATTCCCCACGCGTGGTTTTCTCACGCCAGCGTTTCAGAAGATCGCAACCCTTCAAGGATAAGATCTTCAGAGCGATGGAGAGCAAGCAGCAGGCGTTGGTGAGCGACGGCGAGCTCCTCAAGTCGTCGAACAACCTGAAGGCGACCAAGGCCAACCCGCGCCACGACTCGCTCGAGTACGACCCCGCGGTCGCCGAGCGTCTCGGTGAGTACCATGGTCTCGAGCGCGCGTCCAACGAACGTCTACTAAATGATAGCGGCCACGTACAAGAAGCACGGAGGCGACCTCAAGGACATCTTTGAGGTATGTCATTCTCCAGTAGTATGGTGCATGGGCCATAGCTATTGTAGGAGCTGGACGAGAACCCGCGCAAGGCGCTTAAGCACCCGCCATCGGACGCAAACGACTTTGGCGTCAAGTACGCGCAGGGGTTTTACACATACGCGGAAGAAAAGTAAGACTACTCTACAGGCACGACCGTGCCTGAGCGCGTCGGTTTCTTGAGTTTGTTGACGTGCTTTGTCTGCTCGCTCTCACTCAAATCCTCGTTCTCGGCGCGCTCGCGGGCGTTCGAGAGCTCGATCATCGCATTCTACATGTGCCACCTCAGCCGCAGCAGCACTCCAGAAGAGGGTTGTACCATATACTTGGGGTTGGCGTGGATCGAGTACGTCTTGACGGGCGCCGACATGGCCTCCCACGTGAGCATGCGGTCGCCTTTGCTTCGCACGTCCGAGTCGACGATCCACTTGCGAATCAAGATCCCGTTCTCTTGGAGCTCGTAGCCTTTCGCACTGTCGACGGACTTGGCCGTGGCGAGGACCTGGTACTCGCCAGTGAAGTCCGGGTACTGCGACACGAGCGGCGTTTCGCCCGAGTACTTGCGCTTGCTGTGCATGAGCGTCTTCTTGAGCGTCGACGAACACGAGTTGGCGACGCCGGTCGCGAGCCAATACAGTGGCTTTTCCAGGATCGGCCACAAGAAAGCGCCGAAAAACTGCGACAAAAAGAAGAGCACGAGCGCGACGAGAAAGAAGAGGAAGATGGGAAGGACGTTGAGACGCCAGATCTTGGACGAGAGGCCCGCTGAGCCGAGCGGATCGTACTGGCTCACGGCAGCTTGGAGCTCGTCGTAGAGGTCGTTGGTGTTGGTCGAGTTGGATGGGACGCCGAATTCGCGCAGAACCCACGACACGTTCAACAAGCCCGACTGGAGAAACATGCTGTTGCCGTACATCCACGTTGAGAAACCGAGGTGCAGCAAGAGAGCAAACGGTAGCATCGCCTGCGAGAGCTCGCCGAGCGCCTGCATTGTGTCAGCGAGCAGCCGAGTAGAAATTCCACGAGGTACCTCGTCGTAGGCGGTGCGGACCGAGTAAAGCTTCATGATGGTCAGTTTATCGAGAAGATGCATGACAAGGCACGCGAGGGCGGCGACGGGAAGCAGCACGGGAATACCCCCGCAGTACATCATGGTCACAAACACCGTGTTGAGCACGAGCGGGTACCTACCTCGTATGCGATGACAATATTGTCCACAAAACAGACAATGCACCGCAGCGAAATGTCAAAGGCCGGGCCCGCGAACAAGTCGTTCATTTGCTTTTGCGTCACTGCGGCCTTGAGCGCTCGCGACCGCCGCAACGGCCGAATGACGTACGTTTGCAAGATCGGTCCGATCTGCGGCGAGACCGCGTTGATGATCATGGTCGTCGAGATGCCAACGCCGACGCTGATGTACCACTGCCGCACGAAGTCGTCAAATTTGCCGTTGAGGATCTCCCGCAGCGTCGACGGCAATGGCACCGAACTCAAGTTGGCGTTCACCAAGAGGACAATGATACCTACATCCTTTGGTTTCCATTCCACTTGAAAAACGTCGATATACCCGTGTTGAGCAGCTGCGCGAAAAAGAGCTTGAGCACCGTGGCCGACGCGCGCTCGCTCTCGCTCACGTGGCGCTCAAAGTCGGCAAAGGCGCGGAGAATCATCTGCAGCACGAGGTTGACGACAATGACCGTGGCCGCTGCGAGGAAGAGCGACGCATTCTTCTTGACGTAATTCGACAAGTACTCTTGGCACGGCAGCTAGCACACTCTCCTTTGAAACCCATTGAGACATAGAGAGAAGGTGTGTACCTGGTAGCTGTACATCTTTTTGGGGCCATCGAGCCAGCCGTAGAGAGAAATCGCGCGCTCGAGGGCGGGCTCGCAGTAGCATTTGAGGAGGTCGGATGCCTTGTACGTCGTACACGGCCGCGTCTTGTCGTCCTTGAGCGCCGGCTGGAAGCACGGGAGCGTGCTGCACGTCGTATCGAGGCTTGGAATCGCCGAGATGCAGTGGTTGGTCACGCACTGCGTCGCATTGCCGACCTGGATTTGCGGCACCACAACGTTGTTGGTGTACGAAATGTAGTAGCTTCCCGTCGGGCACGTCATGTTGGGGTATTGGTTCCAGTAGAGTTGCCACTTGAGCGTCGGGATCGCCGAGTAGTTGCCCGTAAAGACGGCCGGGAGCGCCTCGGAGCAAAAGTTGGGGATCGAGTCCCCTGCAAACGTGGCTTGCGCACTACAAGAACGAACATAGTATCTGGAGAGAAGGATGATACAATAATGAACTTGCCTCTGCGCCAGCGAAATGACCGCGCACGACACGAGCAAGAGCAAGAAGGTCACAAAGTTGGTCACGTATCGCCTACCCAGCACAGGTGCGATGTGGAATACTCTGGGAAAAGTTTGGCGTGTGTACCGAAAACGCCGCTCGCGCACGGGCACTTCGAGGTTTTCCCAAATGATGTTGGACGGCTCGGGCGCTTGCTGCACCCAGAGCGCGTGTGTGCCCTGGAACCGAAGCTCCTTGGGCTGGAACCGGCGCGCCAAGCTGTACTGGCTCGTGCGGTAGTCACGCAGACACCTTCTTGATCGATGATACAAATGCATGACGGCTACGCAGGCGTACCGCCGCTGGGCCTCGACGCTGTTGAAGACGACAAAGGCGCAGTCGCAGTCGGTGAGGTTGTTGGCGCGGTTTTTGCGGAGCTCCTTGAGCTTGCTCGTTTTCTTCTCGAGGGTGTCGGTCACCTTTTCCAGCTGCGCTTCGATCCTACCATTTCGCTTGCAACAAGTGCGAGAGAAGAAATGTCGTACTTGGTTGTGATCTCAAGGCGGTCGGCCGCATCCATTGTGGGCAGCGCCTTGAGCGTTCTGAGAATGTCGTTGAGCTCGGCGGCCTTGGCCGTGAGGTATTCCATCGCCAGAAACGTCCGCAAGAGCCCGCCCGTTGGGTGCGCGATGCTCACTTCGGCCACGTACGTGCGCAGATACATCTCGGTGGGGGTGCGTGAGGTGCGCCGTATTGTCGACGGGCTTGGCGAGCCGCCCGCCGCGCGTCAAATCACCTCGCACCTTGGGCGCCCGGGGCCGGCCCCAGCAGCCGAGCTTCATCGGGTACTCTTTCCTCTCGGCCGTTGGGTCGTAGCGCGCGTTAAAGTGCTGTAAAATGCTTTCTTCGGTCGCCGACGGTGGCAAGCCGCGCACGTACACAGCGTATTTCGCCGGCGTAATCGCGTCGGCGTTGCGTGCAATGACTTGGTTCGCCGTGATCTAGTTGATCGTACAGATAAACGTACTGTGACTGAAAGGTACCTTGAAGAACCACATGAACGCGGCAAACGTCAGGGAGTAGAGAAGGTCGCAGGCGGTGATGAGGTAGCTCACGATGTGGGGGTCGTCCGTGAAGGGGTTGCCGGCGCACCACTCGGTGGTCGCGTTCGCAGTCGAGTTGACGCCTTCGTTGGCGATCGTCAAGAGACCGAGACGCATCGGGTCGATCATCTGCGTGTCGATGCCTCGGGCCGACGCGTGCATGACGAGCGCTGGTAATGCCAGCACGGACATGATCACGAAGCAGAGACCCATGTACTTGGTGAAGAGGAAATAGAGCTGAAGGCCGACACCGAGCTCGGCAATGTCCTTCATGGTCGTCTTAAAGAACGACTTGCCCGCGCCGAGACGCTCCGCGGCGGCAAAGTCCTTGGCGTACTTGATCATCTCGACGCGTGTAAGTGCTCTCTTGGCCGAGCCAGGACGATTGCGCAACCCGTCGAGATCCGCAGGCAACGGAGCCGTGATTGATGTGGTGGCACTTGTTGCCAACGGAGGAGCACTGGCTTCGTCCGTCCACGAAGGGTCTGGGTGGAACGACGACCAGCCGACCGCACGACCGGGTTCCTGTGTCCACGTTGTGTTCGGATCCAGCGACGACCACCCGGGCGCTTGGTTGAGAGCGTTCTCGGGGTTGACTGCTTCATCCATGCCGCCGTACGCCTGGTCTTGGTCTAAATTTTCTTGACCTGGCCACATTTGAAAGTTGTCAGTTTGATTTGAAACGGCGTCTCCTTCTGGTTGTGGCCACGCGTCCGTGGCGTCATCCGGGTCTGGATACGCCTCTGCTTGGTCGCCTGTTCCGTCGACCCACTCGGCGCCATCAGCCACGTCGTCGGCGTCATTAGCCGTGTTGTCGCCAAACGTGCCGTCATTTTCTTGCGGTCCGTCGCGTGCCTCATCGGTTGCCCACTGGCTCTCGTTCTCTTCCATCGGTGCGTCTTCCTTTGCGTCGGTGCCTTGCACCCACTCTGCATTGGTGTCTGCAAGCACGGTTCCGTCACTCCACGCTCCCAAGTTGCTCTCTTCGGACGCTGTCTCGATCGGCGCGCCAAGGCTGGTGTCTTCAAGTGCTGCCTCGGTTGGCGTCTCGCTCGACCCCACGTCGTCAGGCGGAGCGCCGCCTTGGGCCTCTGTCCATTCGCTGTATGTGGCATCGGCCTCTGTCGGCGTACCTGCCGCGCCGTCGTCGACTTGGCCCGTTGTGCCTGTGTCGTTTGCTGGTGTGCTCGCAGCATCAACTTCATCGGGCACGACCTGCGACTCGAGATCCGTGCTGACGCTCGGCGGATCAAGGTGGTCCGACATGGAGGCGTCATTCTCCTCGGTGAGATTTGTCGTTGCTTCTGTGTGAAGGGTTGGCAGCTCGAGAAGATCCGGCAAAGGCGGCGCCGAGGCGCCAGGCAATGGGGGCAGACGTATTGCGGACATCGCGATGGCGTCAGCTTCGAGACATGCCTCGGCAGGATTCTCGGGCGTACTAGTACTTCCTTGAGCCAATTCGGGCTCCATCTTGCACCGCGGCGACGACCGTTGAGCGTTGAGAGGCGTTTGAAATGGCCAACCGCCTGTCTATCAATAGCGTTCATTTGTAGCTGCATCGCAACCACACGAGATGCGTATGGTGCATTTACAGCAATCCAAACAAGGGAATGAAGCAATTCGCTTGATCTAAACGCACCAAGCGGCTTGCCGTAGCAGGCGACGTTTCCTCATGGGTTGCCAACAGTGGCAGTGAGGTCCACATTGTCCAGGCGAGCAACGACACCTTAAAGCCCTAAACTAGTCTGTCGCCTAGAACGAATGGACTGGGGCGGCTTGCCTGACGATAAAATCAAGGGCACATCAAAGACGTGTACCCTTGGTACAAAGTGCCATTGCTGGATCACCCCCATGTCAACCGGAGTGTTCCGGAGGCGTCTAATCATAGCCTGCGAAAGATCGCTTGTCGAGCGTACGAGAAACGCCGATCATGGTGGGCGGGCCGCGACCGAGCGAGCCACCGGCGTCCAACCTCGGGAGCATTAGCCTCAACGAATCCATGTTCAAGCTCAGCGAGCTCATGAAGCTCCACGGTGTCTTTGAGCAAGACTCGGCGCTCACCGAGAAGCAGTTCGTATTGCACTTTGGCTCGATCCTCGGCGGCGACCACTGGACGCCGACGCAGATCTCGCAGCTCTTTATGAAGATCGACGCCAACTCGGACGGGACCGTGGACTGGGACGAGTTCACCAACTTCATGTTCCTCAACGCCAACGCGACCAAAGACTCGTCCGCGACCACGACCGCCGCCTTTCTGCCCCGCGACGACTATGTACACGGCTAGCAGCCAAAGAATGGCGTCTTCTTATGCCTCTCTAGGTGGCCGAAGAGACGCCCGTGACGACCCACCGGGCGCGCGACGTCTTTGTTGCGATCGAGACGCTGCCCCGCAGCGGCCAGTACCTCGCGTGCACCCACGGCGGCGTCATCTCAACGTTCGCACCTACAGCGCTGGCGGCGCCGCTTCAGTCGTTCAAGACGGCGAGCGCCCGCAGCAAGTCGGACTGGATCTCGAGCATGGTCTATTTGCGCGTGAGCGGCAAGGTGGCTGTCGCGTCCATGGAGGCTGGCGTCGTCTTCTACGATCTCTCGACGCCTGACAAGAAGATCGTGTCCAAAATTCCATTCTCCGAGTTGGAGCATGCGACGCCGTTGAGTTTGAGCACGATGATCGACGAAGGGAGCATGCGCGAGAGCCTCTTCATTGGCGACGACGTCGGCTTCGTGACGCAAATCGTTTTTGACGAGCCGACGACGTGGCACGTGTGCGACGGCGAAATCGGCTGCCACAGCGACCCGACGCTCGAAGGCTGCAAGATCTCGCGCATCGAGCGCCACACCGACTACATTTCGTGCCTCGAGTTTGTCTCGGACCTCAACTGCCTCGTCTCGGCGTCCCACGACGGCTCGGTCAAGGTACCATGGACCATGATCGTCCGGTGGCCGAGGTATCCACTAGGTGGTGGATATCACACGGGGCACGCTCAAGCGCGACTTTCGGCAGCACCGCGGCGCCGTCTACTCGTTCGCGTGGTGCAAGGAGCCCAAGCTCATTGCGAGCTGCGGCCTCGAGCGTCAAGTGCTGCTCTGGAGCCCGTACTCGATCCGGCTCGTGGGTCGCCTCGTGGGCCACACGTGCTCGATCAAACAAGTCATCTGGAACGCCGCGTCGTACAGCCTTTTGAGCCTCGGCTTTGACGGACTGGGTATCGACAGTGTTGGCGGGCGATTGTTCTGACACGCGCGAAATGCTAGTGCGTGTTTGGGACGTGAAAAACTGCAAGTGCAATCAGGTCATTGAAGACGCCTCCCACGAACGCCACAAGGTGAGTTTGCTCGCGTTTGACGCCCGCTACAAGCACTTGATCACGGCGTCGAGTGCGCTCAACGACTGGCCCCTGCACCCGATGGTCGGCGTCCAAGAAGCGCTGCAGCCGCACGAGCATCCCATCTGCAAGATCCTCTTCAATCCCTCGTTTCAGCAAGTCGTGAGCATCGACACCAACGCGCACGTTGTGCTATGGAACCTTCTCGACGGCTCGATGATTTCCAACTTTGACATCTCCGACTCGACCATCACCGCCGCCGTAAACCACAATTTTGAATCGCACAAGGAGCGAAGAGGAGCATAACTAGAGAGATCTTACTAGGCGCTGGACGAGTCAGGGCGTCGGCTCATCACGGGCAGTCACGCCGGCGACGACGTCAAGCTGTGGAACTTTAGCAACGGCAGTCTCCTCACGACGCTCAAGAAAGAGAAGGACGACCACCATCTTGACGCCCTCCTGCGCTTTAACCGCGCCGAGCTCGACGACGACGCGGGCCGAGTCAAGCTGCCGCCGAGTCTGCACACACAGAGCGTGCAGATACCCCGCGTGCCCCGGTGCATCGCGCCCAAGTCGAACGAAGTCACGAGCGTGCTCTCCATCACGACGTCGATTCCGTTCTCGTCCGGGCGCGGCTTTACGCAGTCCAAATACATTGCGTGCACGGGCTGGGACCGCCGCGTGTACCTCTGGAACGACTCGAACGCGACCGAGTACCTCCGATGCATGCCCGAGAAGAAGCGGGCGACGGGGCACACGGACGACGTTCTGTCGCTGACCTATTGCCCGCCCAAGAGCATCGCGACGGGTGGCGTCGACGGCTGCGGTGCGACCTCTCTCGCGTGTGCAGCATCCTTATTATTATCATCTAGTCATTCTCTGGGGCCTCAACTCGGGCGACGTCATGCACAAGTTTCAATTCTCGAGCGGTGCGTCCCTTCGAGTTCTACCTCTCATCGCTCGTCTTTGGTAGGTATCGAAGCGCTCATGTACCCGCCCAAGCTCGGACTCGTTGTTGGTGTGACCACGAACGCGACGCTTCTCCTCATCAACCCGCGCCACACGGTGGTGCATGCGACCGTCGACCTGCGGGAAGACGACGCCCTTTGCGAAGTCCGCGTCGCACGCTGCGATGTCGACGGCGAGCTGCTCTTCACGGGTCTCTCCAACGGACACGTCCAGGTGTTCCGGCTCACGTGCCTCCCACTTTTGTGCGTGGAGACTGTGCACGCTTGGACCGCGCACGAGACCTCGATCGCCGCGCTCGACTATGTCGAAATGGGCACCGTTCTCGAGACGTTCTTGCTCACGACGTCGGCCGCATCGATGGCCAGCATCAAGCTCTGGACGCTCGGCGGCTGCCTCATCGGGCTCTTCGGCCACGACCGCTGGTGCCTCGACGACACCCAGCTGCGCGACTGCACGTACCCGCGCATCTCCCGTGTGTCGACCTGCGCCGCGACGCTCGTAGCTTGGTGTCTCTGCAATATGCAAGATGCTCACGCTAATGTAGGGCCCACCCAAAGCCATCGCGCTCTACCAAAAGGAGCTTCGGGGCCTCCGCTTGAACGCGCCACCCGCGGTCGGCGACGTCTGGTTCCGAAAGGACGAGCTGGGGCTGATTGGCGCGGTGCTCACGCTCACGAGCGTGAGCCGCAACAAGGGCAACGTCGAGGGCTACGACAACGCGCGGAGTTTGACGGAAATGGCGCTGAGCGTGCTCTTTGACCACGCGTGGCACCGGCACGAGTTCCTCTCGGGCCTCATTGGTCGCATCTTTCTCGAGGACGACGACGGACCGCTCTTCAAGGTACGACGCGTCCGCCTCTCAGCGCCATTACAACGCGGGCGTAGGTGGCGTCGGCCTCGTACGTCGGGTCGCGCTGGCACATCTTCGACACGGACGGCATCGCGCACTCGCTGCCGGCCGAGAAGGACGTGGACCCGTGCTTGCTCAAAACGCCCAAGTCGATTTCGCTCTACCGCATGCTCCCGCCCCATCCGCGCGTCCAATTCCCGAATGCGCCGACGCGCAAGATCCCGGACGTGCCGGCGCTGCCGCTCACCAAGGCGACGCTCTCCAACCCGTTTGCCAAGACGGCCCGCGTCCAGATGGCCGTCCAGCACTTGAAGCAGCACCGGTTCGCGTCGCCGCGCACGACTGCGATTCTTGCCTCGCGCGTGACGCAGCTCAGCGACGAGTGCGACGCGGTCAAGCTGCGCCTTCCCGCGATGCAGTCGCCAACCAAACCCGACAAGAAGGCGCGCGCGGCTGCAACGCGCCCCGAGCTCTACCCGCGCCTCGACGCGCGGTCTGTGGTTGCCATCGACGAAGCTGCGCTAGGCGACTATGCGACGCTGCGGGCGACCTTGGCACGCAGCCCGGGGCGCCCTTTTCCTCGCGTGGCGACGCTCGATCCACCGTCGATGCGGTGATAACAACAACAGCAACACGTTCAGTGGCATGTGCAAAGACAGATGTAGAGGGACGCTTAGCTGATGAGCACGTTGGTGAGCGACGCGGCCTTGCAGGGACCGGCCGAGGTCATGATGACAACGCCCTTGTACGTCGCCTCGGCCTTGTCGTTGGTCTTGAGGTCGACGGCGAGCTTCTCCCACACCTTTTGCTTCTTCATCTGGCCTTCGGACACCGGGTCGCCCGACTCGGTCGCGATCGTGACGCGCTCGCCGTTGATAGCACCGGCCGGCGGCTCGACGAACTGGATCACGTCACGGGCTTCGCTGCACGCGCAGAGCACCATGCCGTTGGACTTGAAGCCCGCGAGCTTGGCCGCCTTGATGTTGAGGAGCACGAGCACCTTGCGGTTGGTCATCTCTTCGATCGTGTAGAACGGGCGGAGACCCGACGCGATCTGGACCGGCGCGTCGCGGCCGACGTCAATCTCCTCGCAGTAGAGCTTGTCGCTGTCCGGGTGCGGCCACACCTTGGTGATCGTGCCGACGCGGATTTCGGTCGACGCGAAGAGCGGCAGCTCGACCTTCTTGGCCTTGACGGGGGCCGGCGCCGGCGCCTTCTTGGCCTCCAGCGCCGCCTTCTCGGCCTCGGTCAGCACCTTCTGGAAGAGGATGTCGCCGACGACGATCGGCGTGCCGTGCGTGAGGTTGTCAAAGTGCGACGACAGCTGCGTGAGCGGCTTGGGCTGCGTGTGGAGCTTGGCGAAGATCGACTCAGCCGTCGCGGGCATGAGCGGCGACATGAAATGCGCGAAGATGTAGACCGCTTCCAGCACCGTGCGGACGACGACGAGCTTGGCGGCCGCGTCCGTCATGTGCCACGGCGCCGCGTCCGTGAGGTACTTGTTGGTCTCCTTGACCGCCTCGATGAAGGCGATGCAGGCGTCCTGGAGGTTGTAGTTTTGGTACGCGTCCTCCGTCGCGGCCCGGAGCGCGGCCACGTCAAAGCACGGCGTCGCGACCGCGTCCGGGACCGTACCGTCGGCGTACTTGACGCTGAGCGTGAGGCCGCGGTGCACGAGGTTGCCAAGCGTGTCGGCGAGGTCCGAGTTGTGCATCGCCATGAGCTCGTCTTCCGAGAAGGGCATGTCGGCACCGTAGCGCGCGCCGCGCACGACAAAGTACCGGAACGAGTCGAGGCCGACCTTGGTCATCATGTCGTACGGGTCGACGACGTTGCCGATCGACTTGGACATCTTGGTTCCGTCCTTGGCGTTGATGAAGCCGTGGGCGAAGACGCGCTTCGGGAGCGGGAAGCCGGCCGACATGAGGATGCACGGCCAGATGACCGTGTGGAACCACGTAATGTCCTTCCCAATGATGTGGACGCTCGCGGGCCAGTACTTGGCGAGCTCCTTGTTGTTCGGGTAGTCGAGCGCGCTCATGTAGTTGGAGAGCGCGTCAAACCAGACGTACATGACGTGCTTGGGGTCGTCCGGGAGCGGGATGCCATGCGAGAACGTCGTGCGCGAGGCCGAGAGGTCGTGCAGCGGCTCTTCCAAGCTACAGAGCTATCGCATGAGCGCATGCTACAAGACAAGCGCGAGGTTACCGCTTGAGGATGGCTTGGCGCGCGGTCTCGGGCTGGAGAAACTCGGGGTGCGCGTGAAAGTGCTCGACGAGGCGCTTCTGGTACTTGGACATTTTGAAAAAGTACGATTCTTCCTGCATCTTTTTGAGGTCGAGGCCCGACGTCGGGTCCTTGTAGTTGGTCTGCGCGGCCTCGTTCTCCGTGACGAAGGTCTCTTCGCGCACGTTGTACCAGCCCTCGTACGTGCCCTTGTAGATGTCGCCGTTCGCCTGCGCGCGGCCAAAGATGTACTGGCAAAAGCTCTTGTGGCGGTCGCTCGTCGTGCGGATAAAGTCGTCGTTCGACATGTTGAGGTCCTTGGCCAGCTGCTGGAAGAGGCCCGAGTACTTGTCGCAGAGCTGCTGCGGCGTCATGCCCGCGGCCTCGGCCGTCTGCGCGATCTTCTGCCCGTGCTCGTCCGTGCCCGTGAGGAAGCGCACGTCGCGGCCATACGCCCGGTGGTAGCGCGCAATGACGTCGGCCGTCACGTTCTCGTAGGCGTGGCCAATGTGCGGCGTGCCGTTCGAGTAGTGGATGGCCGTCGTGACGTAGAAGGTCTGCGCCGCAGCGGCCTGCGTCTCGGCGTCCATCGCGGCGCGGTCCTCGGCCTTGGACTTGAGGTTCAGCGCCTGCACCTTGGCTTGGAGCGCGTCCATGCTGGCAGAAATCACACAATGGTTGAGCGCAGCCCGGGCACCGTATCCGGACGAGTGGATCGGGCCGGCGCCAGACGGTGTTTGTTTGCCACGTGTTTTAAACACTCCAGCATCGTGCCGCCGCGGGACGAGCCCTGAACCATGGCGTACGCTGCGACCGAGGTACGCCCCATAGCGCTGCAGGGTGTAATGCGACATAGGAAGCATGTGTGGCGCGCGCAAATCGATTGTTGTCGAGCAACGGGAGTCGTCTTGGCAAATGAGCCGTGATGTGTTTAAAACGCAATGCGGAGGGTGATGGAAATGCGGTATCCGGAAAGGGGCACGTGACAAGAAGGGGGCCACAAGAATATCTGGCGCGGCGGAGCGACAGCGCAAGTGCAACCTGCCGCCCATCATTCTCGACTGCATTTGAAGCTCTGGAGTTTGGCTTAGCGCAATCGGATTACGGCTGCGTCATGCAGACGCGAGACGCGTCCTGTGCGACGGTACAGTACCGGAATCAGCACCACAAGGTGTTGGAAAAGCGAGAAGTTGTATCGTCGTCAATGACCATTTTATCGCCATCGTAGCCAGCTCGTCTTCGTTGATGGAACCTTGAAATATGCAATGCGTGGTCTCGCCGTGAGACGCCAGCTATTGTCAACCACCCTTTAAGCATGGGCAAAGGCTTTCTTCCATGCTCGCCGCCTTCGACGTCACTGGCTTCTTCGCCGGGACGTTCGACCGTACCGTAGCGTTCCATGAGGCCATGCGCACCAAGGGCATCCCGTACCTCAGTCCCTGGCCACATCCGTGATCTATTCTCGTGCTCGACAATACCGTGATCCACATGTAAATAGATAGCTCTCGAAGACATGGTACACTCGCTGGGTGCGTTGCTTTTTTGCCATCGCACTCGCCGCACCTGAACCCCATCGAGGTCGGATTCGCGCAGTTGAAGAATGGGCTCCTTCACTACGACTTGGCGTTCCCGTTTGACCTGGTCTGCACGATTGAAGTCGGGATGGTGCGATGTACCAGCAGCGCGACGACATTCCGAAGAAGCTTATCGGACACTGCGGCTACCATCCCAACGGTCTTGACGCCTCCAAGTTTCAACAGCCTCAATGCAAGTCTGCTCATCATTCTTCATCATTCTTCGCGGGATGGTCGGCATCTACCATATTGGGCCCTGACTAAAATGCATCCTCTGTCAGGGGCGAGCGATGGTCCAAGTCGACGTTCGCAATGCGCCGAAAGTCCTCAACATTGACGTCGAGCACGAGCTGCTGGCCACCGATCCGGACACGCAAAGGCATGTACTCGACAGCTACGCCGCGCGCAGCGACCTTGCGAATCCGCGGGTCCGTTGCGCGGCGAATCTGTTGGGTCTTCGACTCCCGCTTCTCGACGTATACATAGAGCTGGAAAGTCGTGTCGCCTAGTCGTACTTGTGTGAATCGGTGGAGCATTGAGAGAATGATACCGTTGGCGCGGCTTTGCAAAGACGTCCACATGCTAGCGATGACCTGGGCGTCGTTGTCGGGTGTGATCGCGACGAAACTGTGTTGACGGTCGTTCACGCAAACCTTGGCGTACAGATTCATGCTGGAGGGCTTGGATAGCGTCACCGTTTTCGACGCCGTCGACTTTGACCTGCCGTATTCGGCCATGACGGTGTCGGTGATGGCGCCTACACTCCGGAGTAGCACGCCACATCCTTCGTTGCGTGCATGGACGAACGTGTGGGTATCTGCAGTGACGCGTCCCGTCTGGGGGGCTCCGATCTTGACCGACAAGCAGCAGCTAAGCTGCTTGGGAAGCGGGACTGACCGTTGCAATCGCGGCGCCATGGACGAATGGACGAAAATGCCAACGATATGTGAACTGCTCGCGCCATTATCATTTGGCCCATGTATTTTTTACTGTAAAGCAACGTCGTCCCATACAGTTTTACAATTGTATCTTCTTCGACTGCATTATATTTCGCTTGAACGTTTTAGCATCTCGGCACCTTTTACTTGGACGAATTAGCGGGTGTACCGAACGAATTGTTGCTGCGGCAGAAGATAACGCATTTTCTTGGACCCCGGTTCCGGTTTGCCCAATATCGATACCGGCAGAATAATCGGACGACAACAAGTCAGTCGTGACGCTTGAGCCGAGTGGTATGATTCCTGCTTCTGCCTCCCGAGGTCGCCGGTTCGATTCCCGATGCGCCGATTTTTCTATCCGGACTCCCCCCCCATCCGGACACGAATGTCACTGAAGACGGTCACCATAATAAGGCCACGCTCGGCAAGTGCCACAAGGAACACATGGAAGAAGCAAGATGAAAACGGCATATTCCGGTAACTCGTGCCTACCGGATATTAGGTTGGAGGTAGGACGACCCTAGAAATAGGACCCTTAATCTGTAAAATAACGAGAACACTCAGTTCAACAACAAGTCAGTCGTGCTTGCGGTTTGGAACTGGCGGCCACACAGGCTGCTCCGCGCAGGGGTACACCTGGCTCCGTGGACATCCGCCTGACGAGGATGGCGGCGCCCAAGAGACTCGGTGCTTGACGGTGTAATATGAGCTGGCGGTGTTTTGGGCATGTGGGCATGCAGTGTTTGGATTGGCTGAAATGATTCGGATTGCTGTGTGATTGGCTAAAACGATGTGCAATGGACTTGCATTTTCGCGAATCGAAGCGGGCGAAGGATGCTAGACATCCTGTCGTCGCCGCTCAAGGGGTACCTCGCGCAGACGCTGCAGTTCTACCTCTCCAAGTACCTCAAGGACATCCACCTCGAGGGCTTCGGCTTCTTCGGCAACGACCTCGTCCTCAACGACCTCGAGATCAAGCGCCATGTGCTGCAGTCCGCGCTCGACCTGCCGCCGACCTTCGACTTCTCGCGCGGCTTCATCCGGGTACATGCAGCATGGAACCTCTACATCTCATGGACGACGTAGGAGTTGCGCATCCACATTCCATGGACGCAGATCCTCTCGCAGCCGATCGAGGTCAAGCTCTACACGGTCGAGCTCATCTTGACCGCCAAAGACGAGAGCGCTCCTCGCCAGCGGCGCAACAGCATGGCGTCCGAGGGCAGCTGCGCGACGATGACGACGCACATGTCCAAGTACGTTCTCATCGCGATGTCATGCATGCGAACGATCCTAGGAGCGCCGAGCCCGAGACACCCATCGACGCCCCCAAGTCGAGCTGGCTGCAAGCCACGCTGGCCAAGATTCTCGCCAACGTGTCGATCCAGGTACAAGTCACGTGCTGCTTACCGAGACACACACGTGGTTAGATCAACAATCTCGTGCTCAAGTACGAGGAAGACGACATGGTGCTCTCGGTCACCCTCGGCGTACGTCTCTTCTCAGCATTCGGCCTTGTTGACGCGTCTGCGTCTAGCTCCTCGATCTTTACTCGGCAGGAAATACAAGCACGTGGGCGCGGGGCTTTGCCGAGCCCAAGGGCGATCAAAAGGCCATTGCCAAGGTGCACACTCCGACTTGGAGGATGCTCACAAGGACACAGTGTATAGACGCCAAGGACCTTTCCGTCTTCCTCGATCGGTACACAAGCGACCGCGTGGCCGTCGACGTCGACTCGGACTTGATCCATCGCCAAGTCATTGGCTACGAGGTTCGATGGCATTGCACGTCCGTTTTTTGCATGCATCCGTGACGTAGGTGCCAGTTCTGCGCCGAACGAGCCTCTCCTTGCGCTGCATGTATGCGCTCGAGCCTGCGACGATGCATGCCGAGGTAGCCAAGTCGGCGTACACGCCGCACGTGTACGGGGATCCGTTTCTCGGTGCCTCGTTCGAAGGCAGTGACGTCGTCGTGCTCGATGTGTACGTCAAGGAGCTCTGCGTCTCGTTGAGCGACCGCCAAGTGCAGATGCTCATTGCGTTTGTGACACCGAAAGCACCGACGTCGCCGCACCGACTTGTGCGAGCGTCCTCGTCGCCGCTGTTGTCCAGCGCCAGCGACCCGAGCGAGCCATTGGTTCCGCTCGACTTGAATCCAACTCCTGCACCGACACAGGCAGCGCCGGCCTCGTCGTGGACGAGCTGGGTCTACGGCGCCATCATCGGGGACGACGACGGCGCGGTGGACGAGCTCGAGAAAGAGCTCTTGACGTCGCTCGAGAACAAGATTCCAGAGCACGAACCAAGCCCGCCCGAGTGCAGCATTACGATTGCAGAGGACCCGCCCGCGTCGATCGTGACCGTGCGTGTGTCGATCCAGAGTGCGTCGCTGACGCTGCGGAGTCATGGCGAGGACGCAGCGGCGTCCAGTCCCACAAAAGGCGGTAGCGCCGAGGCGGCGGCGGTCGAGTTTGTGCCTGTGGCCAACGTGGGCTTGGTGCCCATCGACCTCTCGCAGCACACAAAGACCAAAGTCTCGAAAGCCGCCACCGTCATCGGCGTCATCGAGGCCTCTTGCGTGCTACTACGCGTTTCGACCGATGGCACGCGCCAAGACTCGTTGCTGGAAGTGCGCGAAATGCTGTGGCACCAGCCAACGACGCTTGTGGGGCCGACGCTTCTTCGTGCTGGCGACAGTAGCAGCGCTTTGCAGGGCGCGCCGCATCCGAATGCATCCGAGTCGTTCTTTTGCGACCTCTTGGCCGGTGAAAGCTGGCAGTGCGATGGCGTGACAGCGCCCATGGCGTGTGCGTGTGACGCGGCGACGACGTCCCTTGCAACGATCGACGACTACTGGATGAGCGCGCTTCGACGCCTTCAAGACTGCGTCGACAACCAAGGCAACGCCCACGTCTCCCGCATGGTGGACCACGTCGTCGAGATGGTGCAGCGCGATCTCCACGTCCTTGTACCCGCGCCGCGCTTTCGACGCCAAGTGCACCTGCTCGCGCAGGCGTTTGTGCAGCGGTATGAGCTCGACCGGCCCGTGCTCGAGAACCTTGAGCTGTACTTTATGCCGTCCATGCGGACATGGACGGCCATCAGTGTCGGCCACGCGTGCGTCCATCTCGGACTCGCAAGCGGCCGGGCACTGCGCGTGCGCCACGTCGTTTCGCCCGAACTCGTCTCGGTCGATATGGCACTCGGGCCTCTGCATATAGATCTTCGCCTCGAGCCGGTGGCCGCCTACATGGCGTTTCTTGATGGCTTGGACCTCTCGCGTCTGGGCGCAACCCGTACAAACAAGACTATCGATGCTGGGCGGTGGCTAATTCACGTTTGTGTAGACGCGCCGGCGAAAGCAACAACTGCGTCGCCTGTCGCCATGACCCTCGTGCACGCGACGTCTGCGGCGCTGGACGTTCGTTTCGACGACGGCCATGCTCTGTCACTGCACATGCACGACGTGGTGCTAAGCATGCTGGGCGAGCAAGATATGCGCGTTGCTGTCGCGGACGCAAGCGTTCGGATCGACGCGACCGAGGTCCTCCACCTCTCGCACGCCGCTCTCGACTGGCGCGCGGACGTCGTTCAAGCTTCCGCCGACGCGTATCTCGAGACGTGTCTCTTGCAAGTGAGCACGCCACTGCTGGAAACGGCGCTGAGCAACTTGCTCCCGACGGTCTGCCGCATCGTGCGTGTCGAGTACGCTACGCCGACCGTGGCCAACGCGATGCACTGCCGCGATGCGTTCACCATTGGCGCTCACGGCGTCGAAGTGGAAGCGTCTCTGGTCATGAGCGAGGACCAGGCGATGGCAACCACCCGTGCCTCTGTCGTAGTGGAGGCGGTCGATTGCCGCCGACGAGGTCGCGTCATCTTGGAGTCGTCTCGCACCGAGATGCCGTGGGTTGCCTTCGAGGCATCGGCCGAAGTGTCGGTGACGGCACTTGAGCAGTGGCTGCCAAGCCTTGTCAATATGCTGGCGTTGCAGTCACCCGAGGTGCCGCCACCTTCGTTTGTGCACCTCGGACTCCGGTTGGAGATGCAGCCGTTGGATGCGCAGTGGTACCGCATCTTGCCACTCTTGGCCACGGTTGTCGACGCGCCTGGTACCCCGCTTATTGATGACGCGTCACCCAGCGTCGTGGATGTGCCACTGTGGACGCTAGCATTGTATGTGGTCGTGGCACCCGCGACGATTCATCTCTCCAAACACGTCCTGCTCACCACCCCTGCCCTCCGCATCGCGACAGACACGAGGTACTACGACATTGGTTTGACCCATGCGCCTCATTGCTGTGGTAGCGGGTCGAAAGATGGTCGGGGGTTGCTTGCGGCGGTCGCAGTCGGCTCCAACTCGACGTGTCGCCTTGGACTGTCGCAGCCTTGGCATCGCCACTGCTCTCGTGTGCCGCAACACAAATCGTGGTCGCTATCGATGTATCAACGCGAACGGCGCCATCGCCCGCGATTTTGCTCTCGCTCGAGGCGACGGTGATGCTCGGCGCAGTCGATGTGTTTCTCTCGCCGCTTCAGGTACATGGGTCCGTCCTTCTCGAGCTGACATTGCGCAGGTGACCTTGTTGGGCCGTATTCCGACGCTGCCGTCCCCCGGCGCATCGCCTGAGCCTCCGAGAATGGCACCTTTCGAAGCGCCGCCCGTGCTGTGGTCGGTGAAAACGGGTCTCGAGCTCGATCGCGCCAGTGTGGCGCTTGAGAGCCCTGGTGTTGGTGTCGCGTGTACGCTCACGGACCTTTTCTTGCAGCCCAAGTCGGCACGGTCTCGCCGCACAAGACGCCAGCGGCGCCATCGGAGGCGCCATATCTGGATCTTCAGGTGCAGCTGCACGACGTTGCCTGCACCGAGACGCTTACATCGGCGAGACTGCCGCCAGCAGCCAGCATTGGTGCCTTTGACAAGGTCTTGTCGTCCGAGATCCTCGCGGGCATTCTGTTTTGTTTGGACGAGTCGGACATTCGCGCGTTCGGCGCCGCAACGAAGTATGCGTTCCCGCCGGCCACCGCCAGCGCACTGGCGTTCTGGCGCGAGACGACGCTGCTGGTCAAGGCGTGTTGCGAGAAGGTCCAGCTTCGATCCCTCGTGCGCGCGCAGTGTCCGATCATGAGTACGCACACGTCGCCTGACCCGTGGCTGTCGCTCTTCGCACGCAACTACAACGCCAACACGGGTGAGCTGGGCGTGTGGTGTCTTCTTGGTACCGTCGAGGACCTCGATGTGCTTCTTAGCGAGCCGACGCTGACCCTGGGCACGCAGCTGGTCAAGAACCTCGCGCCCGGTGACGCCGCCGCATCACCAGCCGCGTCCACGCCCCTCACCGCGTTACCGTACGTGTCGGTGCACGTCGGGTCGATGCGACTGCTACTGCCCGTGGCGTCCAGCAACGAGCACGCGCAGATGGCCGTGTGCGCAGAGGCGACGACCGTCGAGACTCTGCCGTACTTGGACTTGCCCACGGACGGCCTGAGCCACCCGCCGTTCCGTGTCGTGTCCCGCCGCCCGCGAGCGCCGTCTTCGGCGTTGCAGGTGGCGCCCAAGGCCAAAACCATGCTGCGAACCGGGGCGGTGTACGTGGCGCTCGTCCACTACGATGTGATAGCAGCGGCCCCCGCGCGGTCGCCGTACGAGGCGGCCGTGGCAGCGCTCTCGGAGGCGCCGCTGACGCTCGTGCGCGTCGACTACCTCGTGCCGCCGTGGTTCCTCGCCATCGAGTTGACGCCATCCAAGCACATGGACGTGCACGTGACCAAGCTCGGGCTCGAACTGGACGAACCCGCGCTGCATGTCGTCGTCGACAGCGTTGGCCGCCTCTTGCGCGTCACCGGCGGGTCGCCGCGCCACATGAGCCCACGTATGCCACGCCGTCGACCGAGGCACCAATTAGCTGCGCGATTTCTATCGATGGCGTCGACGCGCGCGTGCAATCGGGTGCCGACACGTTGCTGCTGCGTGTTGGGCCTGTCGTGTTCCGCCACACGATCCACGACGGCCGCTTCTCGGTCAAGAATGTTGTCGTCGGTCACCGCGTCGCGGCGGATGACGAGGCGCTCGTCATCGGGCCGCACTCGGACCCGCACGACTGGCAGCTCGCGGTCGAAAAGTACTCGGAAAAGCTGCTTCACGCGTCGTGGTCTCTCTCTGAGCACCGCGCGCTCACGGGTCTGTCGAAGTGCAAGGCCTGCAGTGCCACGTCTCTCCGGCTCTGGTCGCCATGGTGCAGCGTCTCGCCTCGATTGTTGCACCACTCGGAACGTCACCAATTCCATCGCAAACGTCGTCGATCTGGACGCCGCGCGACCCGTTTCTGCCGCGCTTTTGCCTCCCGGGCGTCGGCACGGTGGACCACGTGGCGCTCAAGCTTCTCTGGTCGCCGAGTCAGCTCAGCGTCGCAGCGGCCAGTGACTGCATCGTGTGCAGTACGGGCGCGCTCTTCGCGAGTCTCGATGCGCGGGTCGCGGCCACGGATCAAGCGCTCGTGAAAGCTTGGCCCGCGACGCCGCTCTTTGAATGGTGCCCCATAAAGCTGCTGGATTTTGTCATGACGTGGCAGCGCCTCGGCGTCGTGGTGCTTGATGACGCTCGTCCCGTCACCGTTGCGCTCGGGCCTCAACTCGGCCGATCCAAAGCGTGGCATCGCCTGCAGGCGCAGGTCGCAGATGCACCGGCGCTGCTACGAGACGTCGACCTGCGTTGCACGGGAGACGCCAAGCAGCTTTTGCGGCTCGTCGATCGACAGCTTCTCGAGACGCGCGTGTATCCAACCGAAGTGCATCTCGACGGCAATGTGGTGCACGTGTCGCTCTCGATGTCGTCGCTGCGCCTACTACAACGCTGGAGTGCCGCGTGGTCTGTTCCTGCGACCGACGCGCCCCACGCAAAGGCGCTGGACGATGTCGTCTCAGTGCAGGCGCCGACGGTGCACGACTTTGGAGAGCTCACTCTGCGCCTCGACCCCCGCGCCCACCATGCGCGTCCTGGCGAGCTGGTGTGTACCGAGACGGTGACATCGAACGCGATCTTCTCGGGCAACGTGCTGTCGCCGACGGTGCTACTCGACGCAGGGTCTGCCACCACAGAAGACGGTGATGACGACGACGACGAGCTGCGGCTCATTGATATCTTGAACGATCTCGCGCGCCCCTGGGACGACGACGACGAGAACAAGGATTGTCTGGAGCTCCGCTGGCGGTACCCGTCCCCGCGACAGCTCACGCACGTGGTTGCGATGCCGCTCCCTGCGTCGGTCGCGCCACGCGACTGGCCCAGGATCGAAGCGCGCTTGTGCGACGTGCAGTGCGAAGTGCGTTGTTTCGATATCGTGAACTCGTCGTTCGTCTCGGTCGGCGTCGTGCACGTGCCGTGGGGACCGGAAGCCGGACTACCGCGCACCGGTTCGGCGCCGTCGCTCGCGGCCGCCATCGCGCAGTGGATGAGCGAGGACGACGACGAGCCGCCGCACGTGTCGGAGGCGTGGCAGCGCTCGTTCGAGGCCCGCGACTACCAGCTATTGACGACACTGGCCGCGACGCAGTGGGAGCTTCGGTGGCGACTACCGCGCGTCGACGCTTCGTCGCTACCGTCGTACGTGGCCCTCTCGGCGCAGCTGCGAGACGCCGTGCGTGTGAGCTCTGTCGCTGCCATCGAGGCGCTGCCGCTGCTGCACGTTGTGGGCCATCTCCACGAAATCAAATTGGCGTGGCACAATGGTGTTGATGACGTCCATGAGCTGTTGCACGTCACGGCTGCGGATACCAGCGTCCACCTGCGGACGTATGCAGGTCGTGCTGCCTATAGCTGCGTTGTCGCTGGCGTCCTCGGCAGCGAGATGCACAACCACACGACGCTGGCGACCACGACACTGCTCCTGCCGTGGCAAGTGACGCTCGTTCTGGATCAGGCCGCCCAGCTCTCGCTGGCGCTCACGACGAGTGCGCTCACGCTCCAGCTCACACAATACGCGCTGCTGTTTATGGCGCAGTTGTCGCAGTCTCTCACCGAGACACCGACGGCTACGAGTACCAAGTATCGGATTTGCGTCCAGAGCCACGTCGACGCGGTGCTGCTGTTCGCCAAGTGGGCACAACCGAAGTCCAAGAGCTCCGAGGTCTAGCGTCGGTCGACTACAGTTGGCATGCGATCGCGGCGCCATTGGAGCTGCAGTTCACACGGTCGCTCTCGAGTGGCTGGTCGACGCCGTGCCCGATCTTGGCACCAGGTGGCGTGTGGCACCGGCAGCTTCCGACGGGCGGCATCTGGGTCGATGTTGCCGTCTGTGGCCTCGAGACGACCGTGGTCGTGCGCGGCGACGTTGCCGTTTTCAACCACCTTAACCAGCGACTGCAATATCGCCTCAACAACGAGGCAGCCGTCACGCTAGGCTCGTCACCGCAGTCGCATATCCTCGAGCGCCCGTCCACACGCGTCTCTCTGCGCTGTGACAACGGTCGTCCGTGGAGTGTGGCCCAGCTCGTTGCGAGTACGTCGACGCCCTTTGCGCCGGTGGCGGCGACGACGACGCCCGAGGCGCCAGCCACGCTTGTCGCGCTGTCGCGGGGCGCAGCCACCATGTACGTGTGGGTCGCTGTCAAGCGCGCCGCCTCGTATGTCGTACGTCTGCATAGCAATGAGCATCCGATGGATTACTCCTCTTGGCTAGATGAAAGAGGCCACGTCGACGCACCGCGTTCTCCGCTGGAGCTGGCTCGAAGTGCATCTGTGGCCGGCGTTAACATTGACGAATCGACTTGTGGCAGCGACTACCGTGTCTCTCCTGCACCAAGCGACGGGTCGGCGGACGCACGTGGTACGCAACCGTTGCCAAATCCACTGCTGAATGCCGCTTCGTAGCGCCTTGCCGCGTCCGAAGAAATTCAGGTGCTCGAGTACAACCCGCAAGAGCCGCAGGTTCTCGAGGTCAGTGGCACCACGCTCACGATCCCGGCGTGTGCTTCGCCCGAGGGCGACGAGCTCGCAGCGTTTCCGGTCGGCGGCGTCCTCCGCGTCGACGCGCCAAAGTGCGGGACGATGCACCTGACGCGACACGCGACGTCGCCGTCGCGGCACGTCGCCTTGTGTCCGGCGCTTGTTCTTCTCAATAAACTGCCGTGGGCCATCGTCATTGACGGCACCGACTGCCGCCAAACGGTGCTACCGTCGGCCGAGCTCGGTCTTGCGATCGCAAGCTTTTCGATGGGTTTGCAGTACACACCCGAGACGCTGCTGTGGACGAACTACGCGTCGCAGCCGTCGCACGTCATGTGGATGCTGCCGTCTGCGCCAAGCTGCTGCCTCAGCGCCGTCGTGCGCCACAGTATCGTCGACGGCGTGCCGCGGGTGACGCTGACGTGTCACTATCAAGTGCGCAATCAGTCGGTACATTGCTCGCGTGTGTGGGATAGATCTCGATCGTTGTTGCATCTAGCGGTACCCGCTGCAGCTGCTGCCAACGGCGCTCCTCGCCGCCAAAACCAATGCGGTCGCGCCAACGGTAAAGTTCGTCGCCCGCCGCGCGTTCATAGCACGTCGTATGTGCTAGGTCGCGGCGCCTGCAGCCAACGTGTGGCCCGTTGGAACGCACGTCGAGCGACCGTCTTCTCTGCACTCGGGTCTCAAATGGATCCGGACGCGGCTCTCGCGCGGCAACAGTATTGCGGACGACGGCGTCGAGACGCCATTGTCGCCAGCCTTGGACGCGACGCGACTGCACTGTGTGCTCTCGGTTGCGATTGCAGCACCCGGCTACGCGTGGTCGAGTCGGTCGATTGAGCTTCGCCCGTGCGGGGCGCAGCGCCTTTTGCTCTTGCACTCGGACGCAACTCGGTCGGACGTGATGCTCACGTTTGCGGTCGTGGCCGTCGACGACGCCGTCGTGCTCACGATCTACGAGGACGCGCACCCGCCGCTGACGCTGCAAAACCACCTGTCGCGCGCCGTCGCTGTCGCGCTCGCCCACGTCGACGAGTCCATTACGATCGGCGCCAACGATACGATGGCGTACGACTGGCAGCTTCAGGTACGGTATTCCGTCGCACAGTGCGCCACGTCATGTGCCACCGTAGGACGCGGCGTACGGCAGCGTTCCTGCGCCGAGCGTGTTTGATCCGCCGTCGCCGTCGCCGCGTGCGCGGTTCCGTGTTCGTGTTGCGGGAGACGACAGCAGCTGGTCCAGCGCTGTCTGGATGGTCGAGGGCATCCAGTTTGCACGCGCAGGCGATATCGTGCTCTTATTGACCATGTACGAGCGCTACAGCGTGTGGATGGTCCACATCGAGTGCATCGACGGCGTCAAGAGTGCGCCGCGCGTCCCGTGCCGACCTCTCGCGGCGCCTCCCACACGCGTCTCGGTGCGCGTTGCCGCCGTCGTCGTGCGCTGTTTTGACGACCACGTCGTGCAGCACGACGACGGCCAAAGCTACGCCGAGGTGCTACGTCTTGACGCCGAGCAAATTCATTTTACAGCGCTGTCGCTGGGCGACGTTGTGCCGGACGCTCACAAGCAGCGGGCCGCTTTGGGGTACTTGTCGCACATCGAGCGCTTCACGACGTCGCTCCTCGTGATTGAAGCCTTGGAGCTTGTTCACTTTTTTCCCGCGTGCAACTTTGCAAAAGTCTTGACATGCGGCGACGTCTCTCGGTCGACGGCGGTCGTCTCCGATGCGCAGCTCCTTGCCTCGTCCATTGAGCCGCTCGTCAAGTCCCACGCTGTGACGCTCCGCCTCGTGTCTGCCGATGGCTGGGTGCCCAGCCATTCGTACACGGACGCGCTAGAACTCGCCGTTTCGCCGATCGTCCTGCAGGTACAATTTTGAAACTTGAAAAGTGCTCAGCGAAGTTCGCAGGTTGAAGATCTGCTGCTCGTTCGATTGCAAGGATGGCTCTCGCCGCTGCTGGAGGCAGCTCCCGCTGCGGCCGTGTCGCCGGTGGAGTCGCCACTCGAGACGCAAATTGCACTGGCGACGCGGGCGAAACGCTACATTGGCCGGCTGGTTCTCTATCCGATTTCGCTAACGATCACTGCGCGCTTCCTGTACGGTCTCGACCGGACGCCGCTGTCGCTCTCGGGCGTCGACGTCACCAACGTTCTATGCTTCGACGACCAACTCGCGAAAGACCTCGCCGCCAACTACGTCGCCGACGCCGTTGTGCGCAGTCCGATGGTGCTCATGTCCCTCAACGTCCTCGGAAACCCTGCGTACGCCGCCTTGTATCCTATTCTGTCGCGACACAACGATAGAGGTTTTGTGCGCGACGTGAGCTCGGGGGTCCAGGACCTCGTGCGACTGCCGCTGCTCGCCGTCGCAACGGAAGGCTACTCGCCCGTCTCGATCACAAAAGGCCTCTTCCGAGGCGCCGTGTCTTTCGCGACGCATACTTCGGTCTCGATCGTCTGTAGTACGTCACAGGACTCATGACACAAGTAGGTCGCGACGCTCTCGTCCGTCTCGGGTGTCGCCCATGCCATCTCGCGGTCCATGGACCACATCAGCACGAGTGCGGCCACGGCTTCGACGACGACGCCGCCCGCCAACTTTACATCGGGGCTGGCCCACGGCTTCCACTCGTTCGGACAAGCGATCGTCGGTGCTGCGACTGGTGTCGTGACGACACCGTTGAGCGTGCTGCGCGACAACCAAGAGCAAGGCCGGTCCACGGGCCTCGGCGCTGGCGTCGTTGGCGTCGGAAAAGGGCTCGTTGGCATCGTCGCGCAGCCCATGAGCGGCATGGCGTCGCTCGTCTCCAAGACGACCGACGGTCTCCTCGTCGAAATGGGTGTCGGCGGTCATAATGACGCGGTGGCGTCGACGATGCTACCGCTCCGACGGCACGAAGCGCGCTTTGTGCGCTGGAAACTCATTGGATCCGTGACGGGCCCGATCGTCTTTGCGCATGCGCTCTACTTGGCCGCGCACGAGGTCGTTGACGCAAAATGCAGCAGCGCCGAGTGGCTCTTGCCGTCGGACGCTGGTGTCCCGAATGTGCAAGTGCGCCTCGTGGTGTCCGCCACGCACGTCTACGTTGTCGACGCGCGTACGGACGCCAAGCTCGAGGTAATTGTGCTCTCGACGATCGCAGTCCTCGAGCAGAGCCTTGTCGAGCCACCAAGCTGGACATTGGCGTCGGTGGCTCAGCCATGTACATGAGCTGGTATCGCTTCCGCCTCGCGATGCACGATCGGCGCGACCTCGGACGCGCGATTGCAACCTTTCGAAAGTGGTAACATACATGATCTACTATTCCCTACGTCTTGGGCAGCTTTGCATACGGGACGGGGGCGACTGCGAGGACGACGCAGCCGGCGGCGAGCGCGATCGAGGTGACAACGTGCAGCGTGTCGGCAGCGTCGAGGCGGCCAAAGCCCCGGCTCGGCTTGTGTGCGTCCATTGCCGCGTAATGAAGTTGCTGGGGCGTCCGCCGCGTGACGACACCGAGAAGCGGCACTGCACAGAGCCCCCAGACACAGACAACCCCTGCATGGAACGGCATCGACGGCAGAATGGCCAAATCATTTCCTACCTGCCACCGACACGGCGGCCGACGTCTCGCCGACAGCCTGAATCAGGTACATCGGGTCGTTGGCCTCGAACGCAATCGGCGTCATGACATCGAGGTGCGCGCTGCCGCCGGTGCCGAGCTGACCCGACCAGTTGTTGCCGCACGCTAGAACCGTACCGGCATTGGTCAAGAGCAAGCTGTGGTTGTCGCCTGCAGCGATGTCGATGATCATAGGGCTCTACCGTGCATGATCAACGACTAGCGGTGACCGAGAGGGATACCCCTACGACGCCGATTCGCGTCGGCGTGTTGCGGTCGTCGAGATGGCCCAGCCCGAGTTGGCCGTGGGCGTTGCTGCCCCAGCTGTAGGCCACCCCTGCCGCGTCGAGGCCAAGAACGTGCTGCCCTCCGCAAGTCACCTTGGCGACTGGATTCGGAAATCCTGGTAGCTTGCGCGGGATGTTCTGAGTCGGGTCCAATGCGACGTGGCTCCCGAGGCTCTCGACAGCGTCTGCCGCCGTTGAGTCTCCTTCTCCAAACAAACAGCGCACCTTGGCCCCACGCATAGACTTGTCCGTCTCGGGTCAGCGCCGTGTAGGACCCGGTGCCGCAGTTGAGAAATTGCTTGACGTGCTGCTTGAGCGGTGTCTGGACCGTCCGCGGGCCCATTTTGAACTGCACGTCGTTGAAATGAGGTCGTGTGGCGACGACTACCTTGGCTTCGGTCCACAGCGCGCATATCGTGGCCACATCTGCGTCGATCATGGCCTTGATCGGCGCTGGTGTCGCGTCATCTTCAAGGATGTACGCGCGCTGGCTCATGTACTGGCAGTAGCCCTGCGCCGCCTAGATAGAGGTCACGTCGTCTGGGCATCCGTCGCATGGTCTACGCGTTGGAACATGCGAGGCACGACGAACGGAGCGTCCGAAAGTGCATTGACGTGTGCGATCGTCGGGAACGCGCACTCGCCGTCGGTCAGCAGCGGCGCCGAGATGGCGTCCGTTGTTGCGACCTGTGCTTTGCTGTGACGACCAGAGCGTTTTCATTCGTTGGGTGTACCTCGGCCTGACTCCACTCGAGCAGTCCTTCGTGGGCGCAGAGGGTCACGGTGCCGTGGTTGCAGCACGCGTGCTCGACGTGACCCGCGTGGAACCTAGGGGTGGTGTGAATAGGCTAAACGCCGTCAAACGCGTGCATGGCGAGGGGGGCCGTGATGAGCGCGGTCTCGGGGGTGTCCGAGGTGGCAGGCACTTGCAGCTCCGGCTCGGCCAGCCCGACGACGGCCGCGACGTCGCGCGAGGCGAACACGTAGCTCGTCAGCACAATGTCGGGCGGCGCCGAGTGGGCGCAGCCCTGCTTGCGCACCAAGTAAATGTGCCCGCCGAGGTACCCGGTGCAGCCAATCGCGAGCTGTCCCGCATCCCGCGAGAAGAGCAGCACGAAATACCGCGACGAGTAGATCTGGCCAGCGCGTGTTCTACGCCCCCATCAGCGCAGAGTGGGGGTGTCGGGACGAACGTGGGCGCGACGGTGTGGAGCTCGAGGCGGCGCGACTTGCGGTGAAACGCGATCGCAAAGATGCCCTGTGTATGTTTATGCTCTTGCAGCGGGTATCGTGTGCGCACCTCGGTCGCGGTCTTGACCGCGCGGCAGGCGCGCACGAGGCCGATGCGCTGGCGCTACCTTCCAATGTGAGAACGTCGGGCAGTGAAAGCTTCGCCTCACCGCAGCGTACTGAGCTTGAAGGTCGTCCTTGGTGTCGCGCTCGCCCGCGGGCCGGTCGTCGCTCTGATTGGAGACCGCGTCCAGCCTGTTGACTGGAAGGCTATTGCGGCGTCGAGACACGCCACCTAGGCGCCGATGGACGTGAGACCAAGACGCGCTGGAAGCGTTTGTCGTACTCTCCGCCGGTCCCACGAGCTGCGCACCCGAGACGCCCCGCGCGAGGTAAAACTCGGAGAACGTTTTCATGTGTCGCCGTCGCTGGAGCGTCACGACGACGTGGGCAAGCGAGATGGTCGACGTGGCCTTCTTGAGGTACCGCGTAAACTCCTTCTTCTCCAGCTCCACTTTGTGCTGCCGCATGTCGTCGACTACGCCTGTCAAGATGAGCTGGACGTCGCCCGCCGTGAACGGGAGCACGGTGCTGAGCTCGGCGCAAGAGACTGTGCTCGTGCTCTTGTTGGCGATCTCGTCGAAGAGCTGGCCAATGTCATCGGTGCTCGCCGTCGGCATTTTCGCGCTACGAAACGGCCACCGTTGCACACACTACTGAGCGTCCGGAGCCCGGCTACGAGGACACCGTCATCGGCGATTGCGGCCTGGGACAGCGACAAGCCGTCTTTCTGCAGAGCCATCCAAGCGGAGACAGCGAAACCCTTCGGCTAGCTCAGACGGGCGGTCATACTGGCCGAGACGCAGAGGCTGCGTGAGAAGACAAGCCGACATTTGGTCGCCCTTCGCGTTTCTCTTCACGTACGCGATCTGGCGGATTGCCAACTTGACGCTGGTCGTCGTCGTCTACGTGGCGTCCGAGATGACGGCCGATCGACCAGCGTTTCCCGGTCAACCTTGGCGCCTTGTTCGTTTGGAGTTGTAGGCTTGAGCCGCCACTCGACAAAAGGAGCCTCGAGTGATAGGCCGCCGCTCGTGAATATGTACTACACGCGATCACGTCCTTGCACATCTCATGCGATATAATTCTCGTTTGACGAAACCACGCGTCTTCTCGGCGCGGTACCGTGCGGCGGCGAGGTCATGTTGCTCCAGCACACGACCAACGCGATCCCGTTCAGCGACTCTGTGGTGGGCGTAGAATCACTCGGCGTATGCTACGCTCCGACGACTACTTTTTAACGTCAAAATGTACGCGATAGAGAGTAAACCTTTGGACTATTTTGGCGATAGAGCAGCAAGGTCATCGCCACGCCAGCAAGTGGACTACGTTAAAACAGTTTAAACACGTTTTACTCGATGGAGTGCAAGGTGCAACGAGCCAATCAGGTTGAAGAATGCTGGCGAGGCTGACGCTGCTGCTGGCGGCGCTGGTCGGCGCGCAGTCCGCCGACGTCCGCACGCAGCTAGGCCGCCACGTGCACGCACTCGAGCTCGTCCGCGCTCTTCCGGCGCCCGCGAAGGCCGCCAAGATCCTCTGCTGGGTCAACACCTACGAGAAGAACCATGGTCGCGCCGCGTCCATCAAAGCGACGTGGGGCCGGCGCTGCGACAAGGTCGTCTTCATGAGCAACGTCTACGACCCAGCGATCCCTACGGTCCGCGTCGTGGCGCCGCCGACGCATCTCCACCTGTGGCAGAAGCACCGGTACGTCTTTGCGCTTGGGACCTCGTCTGAGGCGCTGTAGCGATATCGTTCGCGTCCTCTGGCGCGAGTACGGAGACACGTACGACTGGATCTTCAAGTGCGACGACGACACGTACGTCCTGGTCGACAATCTTCGGCATTTCCTCGCGCCCTACGATGCGTCGAGACCCCATCTGCTCGTCTCTCTTCAAGTCATCATGCATGCCCTTGGCGCTCAAGGGATATTTAGGGCCACCGCATGACGCTGCAGTGGTGGGAGCTCCGTCGCCAATTTGAGTGGTTCCACTCTACGTCGCTGGACCGCATGGCCCCGGCGCGTCGCGCTGCGGTCGAAGACACGCTGGCGGCGACGAGAGACCAGGGCGGTTTGTACTATACGCCTGGTGGAGGCGGCTACGCCTTTAGTGCGCCGTACCTCAAGGTAGCCTCGTCCATGCATGCGGCGCCTGCTCACGCCACCGACTAGTTGCTCGTCGAGAGCTTGGACGAGCCGTACTGCCTTCCGGACGAGATCGTGCCGGACGACTGGGCCATTTCGTTTTGCATGCGGCACCACGGAATCGTGCCGGCCGACACGCGGTACGACGTCTTCTCGGTGGCAAAGATCTCATGCGGCTCTAGCGACGCTGCGGGCCGCGAGCGCTTCCACCAGTACAGTCCCGAGCGCATCTTCTTCGAACCCCACGACGAAGACGCGTTCGACCACGCAGTGTACTCGTCGATTTACCAAGAGAACAATTGGTTCTCGGACCACTTTGGCATCAGATGGCTCAACGGTACGGGCTGCGCGGCGCCCGACACGGTCTCGTTCCACTACATCGTCCCGCCCCTCATGGAGGTCGTCGAAGCTTTTTACTATCCGAACGCGACAGCTTGAAAGCACTTTCCTCTTGATCACTTCAACGGCTGCAGTGTTTTCTACACGTCATGACGGTGGCAGACGACAGACCTGCACGGATCCGAGTATCGGTGGGATACATTTCCACGCGACCGCAACCGCCACGGCTCACGCGAGCCAAGAAAGCAGTGGTTCCAGCATCTCGATCAAGGAAGTAACTTGGCAGTTGGCAGCAGCCATGGGATGGCCAGCGACTTTCGGACCAAAAGTACAGTCGACTTTTCGAAGAGACAGCTAAGATCTCGTCATCACGTGGGGGATGAAAATGGGACGTCGGCGGTGCCATCACCTAACCGCAAACACATGTTTCCCAAATACTCTGTACATGTATGTGCTCGACGGTGGACCGACGTCGTTGTTGTTGAATTGAGTCTATTGAGATATGATTGTTACTACCTGTCAACAACTATAAACTCCGAGAAGTGGTGTGGACCGACGTCGTCCCGCCTTGCATTAAGAGATGGACCGAGACCGTTTGCGTGGCCGTTGTAAACCCTTCGGATTGTTAGATAACTAAGAAATACAAACTGGTTTCGAGGAGCTTAGTCCGAAACGGCTATACTAAAACTAAAACTATACTGCTATTTAGTTGGCGACGGCGAAATTGGCCTTGAGCACAGTAATGTCGCCGTCCATGTGGGCTTGCGTCCAGCCGCCGCGGCGCTTGTAGCCGTTAAAGTCCTTCTTCTTGAAGATGTGGTCCTTCATGGTCAGCTCGCCGACAACGGACATGGTGACCGTAAACTTGGCGGGCCGGAAGACGCCGACGACGTCCTGGATGAGCGGGCCGTACGCGCCGACCATGTCGTTCGTCTCGTAGCTGGCGTAGCTGCAGTGCGACTCGGGCGTGATGTGGATCGTCGAGTACGACGGACCGTCGATCGCGTTCATGCTGTAGCCGCACGGCTCGAACGCAAAGGCGTCCATGATCGCATCCGGCGCGAGGTCGCGGATACCGCTCTTCTCGCTCATCACGGCGCCGTCCCAGCCGTTGTCGCGCTTGAAGAAGGCCGCGGCCGCGTCTTCGTGCATGTCCTGCATGAGGATGTGCAGCGTGTGCTCCTTGACGCCGGCCGACGGCTTGGCGACCGGCTCGCCGTGCTCGTGTACGTCCCACGCATACGCAAACCAGTGGTCGGCGTTGATCGGGCCGAGGATGTGGGCGGCGCCGTTCGGGAAGAAGTCGTTGAGGTAGTCGACTTCGGACGCGAACGACGTGTGCGGGAAGAGCTGGTCGTCCGGCAGCAGAAAGTTCTTGCGCGAGTAGCGCACCTTCTCGACCGCGAGGCCGAGGTCGCGCACGTACTCGGTGAGGAGCGGGAGCGCCTTGAGGAGCGTCGTCGTGCCGCACGTCTTGATGAGCATCTTGCGCGGGTACACAAAGAGCGACGATTCGGACAAGACGTACGCGTCGAGGTGCGCGTTGGAGACGTGCGAGAGGATCGTGCACTTGGCAGCGTCCAGAAGCGCGTCGATCTGGGCCCGCGACAGCGCGCGCAGACCACGCGGGTCCGCGCCGTCGCAAGCGGGCACGAGGTCGACCTCAAGGTTCTTCTCGGGGCCTTCGAAGGTGTTGGGGTAGTCCATCACGGGCTGGTCGCCGCGCGAGTCGGTGGACGACGCCGTGTCGGAGCTCACGTTGTTGGTAGAGTCGGGAATTGCTTGGTCAATGGTCTTAATGGTAGTCGATGTTAGGCAGGTTCGTCACAAGCTCCGACGTAAAAGAAGCCCGTGTAGATGATGGAAGAGTCGACTTGGTAGTTCTCGAACAACGTGACGCCGCTAGTCTTGGTGGTGCAAGGGACTTGGTCTCCGTGCATCCAAAGCTGAAGTGAGCTCAAGACGGTGTTGGATTTGTTGGGCGAAACCAAGTCGGGCGAAACACCCTCCGAGGACTCTAAGATCTTGGAACCGAATCCTCGCATCCCATCCGATCCAGGCTGCCACGACTTTGCTGAATCCCAGTCCCGTTCAATTCGGACTTTTGTCACGCTCACGCTGGTTCTATTCGGACTGGCAAGGATATAACGAGATTTCATTGGCGGATGCCAAGAGACAGCTCCTAATTAGGAAGATACGTTTCGGACGCCACATCCACGACCGCCGACTCGCGGGACCGTCGTATTTTTTTCTTTTGCATACAAGTATCAAGTATAGTTACCCAGCTGAGTCATTTTATTACCACGTGGGACGCCTGGGTTTCGGCCAGGCGGTGACTCGTCGCCTCTGTGACGTGGAACCCACGGTGCTGAAACCCAAGCCGGAGGATTTCACGCAACTTGTTTTCGCCACCGACTTGTGTCGTCGTGGGAAAGATGTGACGCGCCTCTAAGGATGTGCCAGGGTGGACAATGTGTCGTGTGTGATGTGCACATGTGTCAAACGTGCACCGCAATGATGCATCGCTGTTGGGAGCCGCGTGCGATTTTCAAAGTTGGGTGCAACGTCTACCGTCTTGCTCAGCTTGCCACGTGGGTGGAGTGGGGGGGTGGCCGTTTCACGAGGGTGCCTGGTGGGGGTGGTGGTCCACCAGTCACCAGCGACTGGCTGGGAGCCCCCGGTCCGGAGCGCGTATCCGGATAGTGCCATCATTTGCAACTTGAAGCTTTGACCATGGACGTGCTTGGCAGCGTGAAGGTGAAGCAAGTGACGCCCGTCTCCGAGAAGCAGGCCGCCAAGACGCTCGAGAAGTTCCTCGCCACGCACCACGACGAGCTCGAAGCGGACAAGCTCAACGTGCAGGAGGACGTACAGGTGCAGCTCCAGCTCATCCTCGAGCACCTCCAGAAGCAGTAGACTGCTTCGACCTTACTTTACATCATCATGACCACTCGAAATCCATCGCCCTATTATTCCACGTGCTCGTATTGCGCAAGGAGCTCTGCGGCACGAGCCAACGAGGCGTCGATCGTCGCATCGCCAGGTCGCAGCACGTCGAGCTCGGCGCGCCAGTGCCGCACGACGCTGGCCAAAGCTGTCGCTCGGTACCCGCCTGTTACCTTGGCATCAGCTTCCGATAGAAATGGCGTTGACCGTGGACCACATACCAGTGTCGAGGAAGAAGCCGGACGCGACGCAGTGGTGGAGGACGTCCGCGACGGTCACTCGCCTAGGATCGTCCAGGTCGAGGTCGGTGGCTTCACGGAGCACAATATCGACACACACCTGGCGCCATGGTATCATAGCAGCAAGCTGCAACAATTAAAACGTACCTTGAAGTCATTCCGGTAGATGAGGTCGCTGACCTTCGCCAGGAGGCCCGTCATGGCTTGCCCGAGAGCGGCGACGTCGTCAGGCGGCAAGCAGCTGCATTGGTTGAACGCGCGAACGATGCCCTCCCAGATGTACTCGCGGCCATGCTCGCCCGTCTCGAGCGCCTCCAAGCAGCGCGGCCCGAGGAGCAGCCACGAAGCGGCCAATGCCACGGGCAGCAGCGTCATGTATGGCCCGACGCGACGAAGGAGACGCACGATCGCCGCTTCGTCTTGAAGTCGCACCGCCGTATCCATGTTGGCGACAGCAGTCGCGAGCATGAAGTACCAAGTAGATACGTCAGCCTCGTCGCTGCCAGATAAGACGTCCGAGGCCGTGCTGAGGAGAGCTCGGAGGTGGACGCTCGTCGCAACACGGAGCGTCCGCACCAGCTCCGGCGACCTGCCGTACTCCTCAAGCAACTGGCGGGCGGCGCCGACGCGCTCGGGCAGCGACTTGGACACGTATGCGACGACGTTCGCCCAAAGCGATGCGACGGTCGCCATTCTGATTACACTTCGGCTCCGTGTTTATGCCAAATTGTCTTATTTTCGGCGCCCGACGTGTTGGGTGGAGCTACATGTCCCGCACGATGGACGACTCTAGCGCATCTTTGCCGCACGCAAGGCAACCGAATGCGCTATTGTCCGTGGCTCGGACGCGCGGTCGTGTGCTGTAACCCTCCAAGGCTTCTTGGATTCGGCACATGCGCCGAATTTAGGTCGACCGACTGCGTAAATGGTGTATATAACAGTAATTTATACGTGCGACATCTAGCCTTGAGACGAAACGCAGCACCTCGAAAGAATGACGGCGCACACTATTTAGACCGTATCAATATGTGTTGCCAAAAGACAGAAAAGGTCAGCCCTGGCCAAAAACGGGTGCCAACGTATGCAAAGCGTTGAAGGACCGGTTGAAGTTGGACGGGGCGTCAGCACGAGACGAGCGATGACCAAGATGATCGTCCTCATGTGGCAACGGCGCAAAGCTTGCCGAGTGAAATAAGAATCAGGATCCTGGGCAACGTGACTTGGAATACGGTATATGCAAAAGTACCAATGCTTCCTGTAAAACACTAGTTATGTGGTCAATTCGTGTATTGATAATAGTCGAATTTACAAGTAGATCTCTACTCACTTGCTAGCTCAACCTACGACTAGCTAGAAAGGTTATCCTGGTAGGAACGTTAGTGGTAGTACAGAGCCCAACGCGTTGATAAAGAAAGCTTCAAGCGAAGTCTCATGACGTGGGCAGTCGGCGATTATGCTCCAGGGCCACGCACAGATCTCATTTGATACTGGCGCCACTGACCGAAGCGTGTTGTCCTCTGCGGAATCCATATCTTGGCAACCGTGCCACGTACACTATATCGGTGCCGTTCCGAGGTCCCTCTTTTTGGCAGTAAGATCCGGAAAGGGCAACTTGGTTTTCAGCCACATCGGCTGCGATCGACCACTTTCGAATTTGCGGCTTTCGACACACAAGGATGGTCCGCTTCCTCGGTAGCATCGGCAGCATCGTCGCCGACGGCGCTTTGCCCAAGCTCATTCTTATCGGTACGAAGGAGACGCCGGGCGTCGAGCTCGGTGGGCGCATCCTCGAGCAGCTCTTGCACACGGTCAGCAAGGCCCACGAGCCCAAGAGTGCTAAGGCCAGCGTCCCCGCGTCGACCTTGAAGATTCTCCAGCACGCGATCTCGCAGCTCACGCCCAACACGGACACGCCCGTGTCGTCGCATCTCTACTTGCCGCTCGGTGACCACGTTGTGAGCTGCGTCGTCGCGCAGCTGCCGACGGCCGTCTCGCGCCACAACTCGCTCGCTCGCCCGCACTCGATCAGCTCCATCGTCAAGGGCAACGTCTCGGACAAGTCGGAGACGCTTGTCGGTCTTGCCTTGCCGCAGCACTCGCAGACGCTTATGGCTGCTGGTGTCGCTGTCGCCAAGGGCGTGTCGCACTACAGCCACAAGTCGGCGTCGCTCTCCGGCGTCATCGTCGAGGGTGTGGCGGAGACGCCCGTCAAGGCCGACCGCGTCCACGTCGTCTTCAACGACGGCCTCGAGGACGAAGAAGTGTCGTTTTTGAACGCGACCGCCGACGGTGTCCACCTCGCCCAGCGCCTCGTCGATGCGCCGCCGAACGAGCTCCACACGGATGCGTACATTGCCGAAGCCCAGGCCGTCGCCGCGCGCACGAACGCCGAGGTCACCATCATCCGCGGCGAAGAGCTCCGTGAGCGTGGTTTTGGCGGCATCTACGGCGTCGGCCAGGCCGCGCTCCACCCGCCGGCCCTCGTCGTGCTCAGCCACTACCCGACCGAAGAGTCCAAGGATGCCAAGAGTGTCGCGCTCGTCGGCAAGGGCATCGTGTACGACACGGGTGGTCTCTCGCTCAAGATCTCGGGCTCCATGGTTGGCATGAAGCGCGACATGGGCGGCTCGGCGGCGCTCCTTGGTGCCTTTGAAGCTGCCGTCACCTCGGGCAACGCGGGTATCAAGCACCCGCTGCACCTCGTGCTCTGCCTCGCTGAAAACTCGGTGGGCCCGAACGCGACGCGCCCCGATGACGTCCACACCATGTACTCGGGCAAGACGGTCGAGATCAACAACACGGACGCCGAAGGTCGCTTGGTCCTCGGCGACGGTGTCGCGTACGCGGTCAAGCACCTCAACCCGGAGGTCGTCTTGGACATGGCGACGCTCACGGGCGCGCAGGGTATCGCGACGGGCAACCGCGTCGGTGCCATCGTGACCAACAGCGACGAGCTCGAGGCGATTGCTGTCCGCGCCGGCAAGGCGTCGGGCGACCTCTGCCACTCGATGCCGTACGTGCCCGAGTTTTCCGTGGCGAGTTCAAGAGCGCGGTCGCCGACATGAAGAACTCGGTCAAGAACCGTGCCAACGCGCAAGTGAGCTGCGCCGGTCAGTTCATCGCCAACCACCTCGGCGCGTACGAGACGAACGGCAAGTGGATCCACGTCGACATGGCGTACCCCGTGAGCACGGACGACGAGCGCGCGACGGGCTACGGCGTCGGCCTCGTCCAGGCCATCCTCCAGCAGCTCAACCAGTAAACTCTCGACCATTTTCTGCTAATAGTATGTACCTCTACGTGTTGATCATCTTGGCAGTCTCTCTCTTCCAGCAACGTCGTGCTCGAAATGCCTGGCCATGGGCAACGAAGGATCATGGGGTAGCCAGAAGGTGCACGGCCGCGCCCCTCAGTGTCGACGGCGCCGATCCCTATCTCACACCATTTCCGTGTGATCACCGTGGCACCGAGTTTGGATTCGGCATATGACCCATGTTGTATTCGGCATACGATGCCGAATTTAGTCGTTGGAACAGCCCCATTCTCCCAGCCAATTATACCTGACAGCCCAATATTCAAGCATGAAGACGAAGGCCAAGGTCAACAAGAAGAGCAAGCTCGTCGTGACCTTTGACGCAGACAAGCGCAAGTCCGTGGCATCTGCCGTCGCTTCGCCTGCTCATGCGATATGCGTGTAGAGACTACCTCACGGGCTTCTCGAAGCGCAAGCAGGAGCGCCGGCGCTTCGGCCATGACATGGAAGCCTTCAAGAAGCAAAAGATCCTCATCGAGCAGCGCAAGATTGTGCGAGATCCATGCCAAGGAGCATATGGGCTCATGCATCTTTGAATAGCGCAAGGCCGAGCAGAAGAAGCTCATGGAGAGCATCCCGGAAGTCGCTGATGTCAAGCACGTCGCCGAGGACGACGACAAGGCGGTCGTCAACTTCGACGACGCCCACACACAAGGTACAGTCCGTTGCGAGTCCATGGTCGTCTCATAAAAAGTAGACAAGTTCGGCAACGTCGTGACGGTCACGACGACCGTCGGTGAGCTCAAGAGCGACTCGGAGGACGAGCTCAGCGACGAGGTGCACGCATCATGATGCATTAGGGCCAATACCAATGCACAATAGGAGCAAGAGCAGCTGCTGGCGCACCTCGCCAAGAAGAAGGAACGTGCGAACCGCGACAAGCAAATGACGCTCTTCCAGCGGATACAGCAGAAGCGCAAGGGCATTGCGCTCCCGTCGAAGCGGTCCAAGATGAAGGCCGCCCGCGAGAACGCGGCGCGCAACAAGGGCAAGGGCGCCAAGGTCGTCGTTTCCAAGAAGGGCGGGAAGGCCGCCGCCGAAGAAGAGGCGCCCAAGGAGCGCAAGAAGGGTCCGCAAAAGGGCAAGCGCGGCCGCAAGTAAGCCTGTATACGACACCTCCTTTGCCATGTCTGTATCGTTCAACATCCGAATATTGCTCGAGTCCACCGCGGGCGATGACGTTGGGCGTTGAATCCATCGATGCCGGAGCGAGCATATCAATATTGGCATCGTTATTCGAGCGCTCTTCTGTCACTTGCAGCCGGGGCAGTTGTGGAGCGAGTCGTGGATGTACAAGTCGCAGTCGTTGCAAAAGACATGCGTGCACGTCGGGCACTCGTAGCCCAGGTTCTGAAGCGCCCCGAGACACCCAAAGCACTTGCGCGTGCGGAGCTCGTCCGCCGAGCGCTTCTCGTAGTTGGCGATCGGAAACAAGTGGTGGTACGACCGCGCGAGGTGCGGCGACGAGACCTACGCCGTATGACTTGATGGAGACGTGCGAGCGCATACCAGTGGCAGGTTGCACACGGCGCAGACCGTCGGGAGCTCGCAGCTCTTGGATTTGCAGCGAGGGCAGAGGTACCCTGTGGTCGTAAACACTTGGTGGCAGACGCACAGCGAGAGCGCACCGCTGCGTCGTTGCGGGAATCCCATCTACGAGCGAGCTCTGTCAATTATGTGCACCTAGCATCGTCGCCCACCTCGACGAGCGTCGCGAATTTGGTCGCGGCCGTGGCGAGGCTCGGGCTCGGGATCGTAAAGGCCGAGATGAGATCTTTAAAGTGGTTGGGGTCCATCGCGACCGAGTACGTCCCTTGCGTGTCCTAACGCGTCGTTGGACTCGATCTTCGCGAGGACACAAAGAGTACCTTGGCAATGCGGCGCAGGAGGTGCATCTCGGCGCCGATACTCACAAAGGAGCACCGGATCGAGTCTTTCTGAAGGGCCGTGATCGTAGCAAAGATGTCACCGGGGTCCGTCGTTGTGAGGCTGCCGTACACGACGACGATCTCTTTCGAGCCGTACGATGGCACCGTCTTGAGCGCCGACTTGGCCATCTCGAGCGCGTTCTGGAGGCTCGGTTCACCGTGCACCGTGATCGTGCGCTTGAGGATGTCGATGTGGTGTCCCGGGTTGCCCGACAAATCGCTAAGCTTTTCTGCCACGGAACTCTTGATACCAATCAAGCCCAGCTACGCGTCAGGTAGTAAAGGCAAGACGACGAGGGTTATTAGGTACCTGGGAGATGGGGTTCTGGTCAAAGTAGTCGGCGACGAAGCGTTGCACCTCTTCCGTGACAACAGCGCAGCGATGCGGCTTCCAGTCCTTCTGGCTCATGCCCTTGGAAAGGTCGATGATGACGTAGACGTAGCGGATGAGGCCTATGTCGATCCGAGATGCGTGAGCTGCCATGGTCCGCTCGGGGTATGCATACCCTTGCGCACGCGCTGCAGCATCTCTTGGCGGCGCAAGCGCGACTTGTCGCCAGATGACGTCATGAAGGCGCCGAGCTTGAGCGCACCGCTTTCGTCCTCTTCAATTCCGTCCCACGATCTTTCGAACGAGCCTTCCCAGGCGTAGCCCTTGCCTTGATCTACATGCAACATGCCATGTAAGCCATATGAGCTGACCATGCCAAGGCCATGGCCCAAGCTCCATTAGATGCCATCGGGCGTCTGAAGCTGCGTTCCAGCACCTACCGTCGTCGTCCATCACGCTGCGTCGGTGTTTCCTGGCCCCAACCGAGCTATAATATCCTCCGAGAATTAATATTTCAAAGGACCATTTCTTTGCTGAAAAAGTTCAATGGTGGCTGACATCAAATGACCAGAGCTCACGACGACACCCTGCCTGCACTGCCCTGCCTGTCCTTGCGTGGATCGGACAGGGTACGAAGGAAAGATACGAATGCCTCGCTGCAGCTAATACCCCACGCGCTGCAGTGGGGTCAAGATGTAACATGCAAATGATCGGTATCGGTTTATTGCCAGAAATTCCAATCCGGTCTTGGGTGGGGGGACTCACCAAAAAGCAAGAGTGCGCATACATTTCGAAAGGTAGTCATGTTTTGACGGCCCTGGGTGGGTCTTTTGAACAACCAGATCGACCAAAACGAGGACCATGACGGAGATGTCCCGAGACGAGTTCGTCCAGGCGCTGGCGCAGGCGCTGGCCGCCAACGAGGCCGAGCAGCGCGTACCGAAGAGCGCTCATGACGTGGCGATGGACGCGTACGATGCGATGCAGTTCGACTTCCCGATGATGTCGGCCACGGACCTCCGCGTACTCGCCGAGCGCATGCACGGCCGCGACCGGTCGCAATTTCCAGTGACACGTCCGCTCTTCCTCAACGCGCTCGAGCTTGCGGCAAAGGCTGACGCAGCCATAAGCGCAGCCGCCGCTTGTGTTCTCGTGCAATGCTTTTGCATTCCGTTCCAAGACCCTTCAGGGCTCGACGCCTTCCGCTTCGAGGTTTGCAATGCTTTGCCGATGCTAGCTCATGTGTTGGCCGTAGTCACTTGCTTCCGAGGACGCCAAGCTACTTTACATGTGTTACCACACGACGTACTCGCCCCTCTCGGCCCTGACGCATGACGACTGGAACTACTACCAAGTCACCGACGCTTGCTGCTCGATTGCGGCTTCGCTGCTGCACCGGCCTCGCACAAGCGACGAATCGTTGCTGCTACAGATGGAGTGGCTGCGTTACCTCTACATCCTCCGCGACCGCATGCTCCAGCACCCACAAACATGCCCGGCGATCTTGCAGCGGCTCGCGACGCTCTTCTCGACGCCCGAGCATGTGGCCAAGATGGAAGAAGTGTCGTCTCTCTCGTTTCTTCGGCTGCTTCTCGAGCTCACATCGTCCAAGGTACTTTTTCCATCGGTAAATGACGTGATACGGAACGATATAGGACATTTCGGCGTCCGTCGTGGCCTCGTCAGCGATTCTCTCGATCCTCAAGCCGCTCGTGCCCATGGTGCGATGCGACGTTCTTAGTGGCATAGACTCATCAACCTTAGATCGAGCGACACATCACTTTTGATGGTGCTGCCATGGACGACCGCGCCGACAGTATCATTGTCATTTCGCAGCTCCTCCTCTGGAGCGTGCAGAAGCAGCCGACGACGTGGGTACCCCTTCTTTTTGACGCGGGCATTTTGCGGGCGTGTTTGCGCGTTGTGGCGACCGACCCCGAGGGTAAGGCGATGAAAGCTGCACTTCGCGTCCTCGTGCTTTGTGGGCTCGTGAATGCCAGCTTTGGTTCGTACGTGCACGCAGTGCCCAGCATGGTGAAATGGAGCGCCGACGACCGCTTCCAAACGCTGTATCCAGCGGAACATGTGCTCTGGACGCTTTCGCAGCTCCTGAGCGGCAGCACGAACGACGCAATGCGCTTCTTTGAGCTGCTGCCCGGTCTTTTCCCATCCATGTGCGACTCGTTCTTGGATGCCCAGTGCGCGGTACGACCACTGCATGTCTATAAACTCTGATGCGATCGCACCTAGCTTCACGACGCTGTCTTTGCGCTGGAGACACTCGCGACGCTCGTGCAGTCGCACACCCAACCTCGGTATGCGTCGTGGCACGCCAAGGACAATTTGGCACCGGTCCTCGCGCGCCTAATCCCCGAGATCAACCTCCGTTTCGCGTACCCCGTACGGCACGACAAGGTCGAAGATGGCCCTGAGGGCGACTCGGCTGGTGGTAGCAGCAATGCGCGCGTCCAGCTCATGAACCGATTGCGTCAGGCCATCAAGCGGGCCATGACCGGCAACGCCATCCGGGCCAGTGCCAAACTTGACTAGGATAGAACGCAAACAAGAAGCCAAATTACCCGTGAAACGAACAAACGAATTCGACGGCTGCCTCGAGCATCGTCGTGTAGTAGCCGATTTCGCCGATCATGATGGACGAGATCGTCGTCTCGCTCAAGACGCGTCGGGTGAGGGGGAGCTCTGTGAGAGAGCTTTGGCACAGTACGTATATGAAGATGGGAAGGAAGTCGTCGGCCGCGAGGTGCTCGGTGTTGACGCTCGCGTGCTCGGCATGATATACAGTGTAAATACTCTTGGCAGCCTCGACAAGCGCAAGGCCCTTCTCCGACGGCAACACGTGGATATCGAGGGCATTGAGTTTGTCAATGCACGCAGCCCAGTTGCTCTGAGACCTACGATGGTCGACCATGGAGACACGAGTGCAGTAGACAATTACGTACATGTGAGCCGGTCGGATGTCGAAGAACGACTGAGGTTTTTCAGCGAGCCAGCGCCGACGGTCCTCAAACTCTTCGAGCGCAGCATTTCCGCCCGTGAACGAAAGTCGGAGCATCGAGTACAGAAGATCCTACACTGTCCATGAGTCTGCTGCTGCGTCTACGACGCCAAACTTGAAGTGGTAAAAATGTGGCTCGTTCAATGCAGCGCTAAGGGAGAAAAGTGCATGGATTCTTGAATCCAGAACATGTATATACCAAGGACGATTCGCGCGCGCTGTAGTAGACGCCTTCAATCGCATTGTCTTCTTTTCCCTGGCGCTTCATGTGCTCGCAAAACCGGTCAAGAACCTGTTTACATCACCGTGAGAGACGATATACGCTATTCATCTGTGTACCTCGGCCAGCGTGCGCTCGACAAACATGCGATACGACTTGAGTGCTCGCACAACTTTTGCTCGACGGCCTCAGTCTTGCTCGTGGTTTCGAAATGAAATTTATACTTTTTGACAAAATGCGACTACCAAGCGTTGCGTGACCTCGCTGCAGGAGGGTAAAGGACGTACGGTCGCGTCCCGATAGAGACCCACGATGGCGTCGTACAAAGCGTGCACGTCATCGTCCTGGGCACCACCCATTGATGCCACAACGGATGTTGTACTCAGCGATCGTCGGCGCTACTCGAAGGTGTAGGGTAACAAGCATCGCGTTTGGAACGCACCATGACGTCACTGCGTCTGTCGTCGGCGGCTTGGTCGTCGAGCGCACTGTACGAGTCGCGACACAAGATTGCATCTTCGATTGCGTAGATCCACGCTTCGCGATCGCGTTCGGACGCTGCTTGAAGCAAGAGCGAGTACGCGCCGGCGTCGATCGCGAAGCAAAAGGCGCGGCCGGCCGCTGGCTCATCGGCGTAGTGGACCTACAGATACAGTACAGAGCACTTGGTGATGGGCGAGCACTCAACCGTCGTGTCTTTGTGGAATAGGAGGACCTCGCCTTTGAGTTTCGGGGTCTTGACTTTGCTGACGTCGTCCGTGTAGTACTGCAAGACAGAGCCGTCGAGGACGAAGAACCGGTGCTTCCAGCTCTTGCGTCGGTGCCCGAGCTTGTGGAGCCAACCACACTTGCGCTCCAGAGGCGCACCGTCTAGTACTCTGTGTGAAATCGTCGGTACGCAAGACGTCATTGTCGTACCCATGCCGCATGGCTGCAGCATCGACGGTGAGTGCAGCGGCACGAAGAGACGCCGGCGCACCCACTTGCGTCGCCTGCAAAACGTCGTCTTGCGGTGGTAGCCAGAACAAGCCGTCGACTCGAGTCGTAGGTGGCTAAAGCTTGTCGAGTAGCGCCATCCTAACGCGTCCAGAGTTGACACCCATGCAGAAGGTTCGTAGTACTACCATCGTTGTCAGCGTTTACATGGATCTGCCAGGGCGTGATCCACTCCCAGCGTCCGCAACCCTCGTCGCTGACATCCGACGGCAGTGCGATCGTCGGGAAGACCGGAAACTGCGCTTCGTAAAGCGCTGTCGCATACTTCTTTGGGTCGAGCGGCAAAAGGCAGCCCTTGGATCCTACGCAGCAGCAGCAAGCATGCATCTGCACAGTGGAGGTGGGCAGTCGACGTACCCCAGCCCAGCACCAGCTGGTACCGCTGGTGCTCGAAGACGACTTCGTCGATGCTCGAACAGTTCGGCTCATCGATCGTGTCGTGGGACTCGACGGACTTCCAGCTACTGCTGCGAAGAGTCTCGATGGGCTTGGGCTCGATCGGCGCCGTCGCTTGCAGCGAGAGGTCCGAGTGCGACCGAGCGACGACCTGCAGCCAGTACGACGAGTTGCGCGCGCTCATCGAGTACTTCTTCCGGCGCTCCTCGACCGTGAGCTCGTAGAACTTGGCGGCGCCGATGCTCTCCATGCTCTTGGACGACGTCATGGCGCAACGCGTCCCCTCTGACCGGTGCTCGTCCATCTTGCGCAGCGCTTCCATCTTCCGCGGCTCCTTGGCTCCATGAGGCAGCGCTTCTTCCGTCGACGGCTGCTCCTCAGCCGTCGCTGGGGTCGCGTCCATCGTCGTCGGGTGGAGGTATCTTTCTTCGGTATATTAATATTATTTGAAACCTTGTGTTTGTATGGTCACGATCAAGATATTTTCTGATGTTAAACAAAACATATAAATAGTGTGATAAAAGATAGAAATAGTCTTAGTACAGCACTTGCCTAAATAGTATAAGGGCGATATCACAAGCTGCCACGTCATCGTGCATTTATTGTATGCTCTATCGTAACAAGGCTGACGCCTTGTTGGATCGGCTCTAGTACCAAGGAACAAGTCTTTCCCCCTGACTTATTACTCGAGACCCAGACTTCAGGCTCCTTGGAGCTCTCGACTCCCCTTCTCTTGGTGCTCAAACTTACCCTTGGTGCGACCGTTCGTCGACGCTCGCCATTTGAATATGGTTTGTCGCCTTCGCGAGCAAGCAATTGGTACATCATCATCGCACATAACACCCAGAGCATGTATATATCTATTGCCATAGTGCAGGGTACGGAGGTATCGAGTGCGCCAGCCACGCCACGTCGAGGTCTTGCCAGTGGGCTGCATTGTCCACAGTCGCTCGCACACGGTCGCGCACGTGGAGACACGCTGCGCTCCACGCATCGCAGTGCCGCAGCGCGACATCCAAAAGGTCCCACCCCCGAGCATAGATGGTCGATACATTGGTCGTAGCCGCAGTACACGTGTGGTCGGTGTTGGGGTCACAGCACGCCACGTGCGCCGCCACGGCGGTACAGAGCACGTTCGGCTTGGTCGGCGCCTCAAATCGCCACATGTCGACGCCCGCAGAAACGCCCATAGCGGCGAGTTGTACAAAAAGGCGCAATGTCTCCACAGCGTCATCTCCCGCCGACAGTGCGAGGAGCCGCGACTGCGCCGTGTGCAGATGGTACCGGGCTCGCGCCGGATCGTTGACGTACGCAGAAAGGCTCGCGACTTGCATATCGTAGCTCAATCCTGCATCAATCGTGATTCAAGTATCGTCCAGGAAATCGTACCAGCTGCGCCGGGCGAAACAAACCAGCTCCGAGCCTTCTCGGGGTCCACCAGCGTCGAGAGATATTCTTTCATCCAGTTCGTCACATGCATCGCGATACCGGTCGTAAAGAGGCTGCTCGCCTGCGTTTGCAGCAAGCGAAGCGCGTCACAGAGCACGGGCAGCGAATGCGTCACCGTGAGACTCGATACTGCGCTGCATGAGCTATCGTTAGAAACCTGTTGGTGACGTACCTGGCTGCATCTTTGTGCTGTCTTGAATGAACCATGCGTGGACGAGCATGAGCGCCTTGGTCGCGTACACGTCGTCTCGCGTCGCGAGGTAGCCAAAGACGAGTGCAGTCGTCGCGTCAACGAACGCGTCAAACTGTCGGCGCATCTCGCGCTCGATGGCGTCACTCGTCATGTCCTGGCGTCATAGGAGCTATCGAAACCAGATGCATTTGATGGTGTACCGGACTGTACATGGAGCGATCCGAAATCGACCACTCCACAGGATTGCTCCATTGCATGGCGCGCTCGGCCCTGGCTCGGACCTGCGCCAAGTCCAGCGGCGCCAGCGGTTGAAGCCGACTCACATCGTACAGTACCAGGCGCGTCGGCGTGTACTGCAGTGCGTCGACCATCGCCCGCGCTTCCAACGTCTCAAGCATCGTCGTCACCGCATCGGCGCGCGCCATTTCTCGGTGGAATCTAAGAGAAATGTTGTCTTAGCGACGAAGACAAAGGGGTGGCGTTTTACCCGTTGGCTTGGCCCTCGTACATGGCCTTCCCTGAGAAAAGACGCACGACGTAGCCGGAGGATGGCGGCGGCGATGGGCAGTCCAAAGCAGGCTTCTCGTGCGTACGCGCTCGCTCCCACTGACTCCACCCCCACTCAAACCACACACCCGGCACACCCAGACGCACGAGAAGCGCAGCCTTGTCCCGGCGCCCATACCTACCCGCGCTGATGATGCTGGCAGATGGAGCACTCCAGGGGCTACCGCAACGCTTCGTCAAAGCGCTCGCCGGCGTCGCTGCGAAAGATGATCTGCGGCTCTTCCCAGGCGTCCGGCGTATAGTTTGGCGCCAAGACAATGTCATTCTCCACGCGGAGGCGATCCATCCACGTCACAACGTACTTGGTACTCGCGTCGTCTACGACGACAGATGAGGGATTGACGCAGAACGAGGATTGCACCTTGGAATGAGTCCAAGTCGGTGCGGATCGTTTTCCACGCGGACCGCGTGAGAAAGCAGTTTTGATCCCATGGAAGAATCCAGCGCACACCAAGCGCATGCCTACGGCGTCGGTTGGTGCCTTTTCGTATGGCACAACGTGGCACACCCGAGGTCCAGTATGGCATTGCGCGCGTGGTTGATGCTCATCGCATACAAGTTCTTCGTGTCGTAGATGCTTGAGACGAGAAGCTTCGTGTTCCAAGCGTCCAGCACCGTGTCCGCGTGCAAGTGATCCGTGCCGTCGTCTTCGTCAAAGAGGGCGAACGGCTGAGCTGCGTACGCATGCACGTCAAACGGAATGACCGAGTAGCTACAGTATGCAGCAGCACTCTCATCAGCAGGAGATAAAAGCAATCTTGACGCACTTGGCCTGGAAGAGCGTGAGGAGGGCAACGATATCGGCCTCAACCACCGGGTCCAGGATGCGGTTGAGCACCCAATGCGTCTGAACGCGTGCGTCGTCGAGGTCCTCGTGCTCCAAGATGAATCGAATGTTGGCGAGAGTCCGGTTGGGGTGGTGCCTAATGCGCAGTTAGCCGCGCCACTGCAGAATACGACCGTACCGAGGCGGCAGTGCGTTGCCCACGACACGCCCCAAGAGCACGTCGGGTGGCAAGCCAACGTCCGGGTACACATCGTTGGTGATTGGCGCAGTGGGCTCTGTCGCGTCGAGCCGCGCGCCGGCCGTCGGCGCAGATGTGTCGGCGCGTAGGTTGCTGGGCGGCCTGGTGCGAAGAGTGGATACGGCGCGTGGCATGGAGCCACCAGCGTACATGCTGCACCACGTCAGCATGAGCGACAGGACGAAGAGGAGGGCGAAGCTCGCTCGCAGCGTCGCGACTGTGCCCCGGCGCCGCAGGCTCATGCTCGCGTATTAAATGCTGCAGTATTGCGGATGTGCATTCATTTCGAGGGGTTTTGCGTCCATCGAGATCCTTGCTGCTTGCTGGATGCGATGGCGCGCCTGTCGCGAGTCGGGCATTGGGGCCAAGTGTACAGCACCACAGAACACACCACCAAGATATTAGTTAATAGCGGTCCTAGCCCATGATCCGACGCAGCTCGTCCGCGACAACCCGCGCCGACGGTCGCTCCATGTCGTGGAACGCCAAGCAGCGCATCGCAAGCGCGAGGAGCGGTCCCGGGATGCTGTCCGTGAACGACGGCTTCAGCGCGCCTTCGCTGACCATCATGGCGATGCGCGCATTCGAAAAGCCCTGGCCCTGGTTCTGCTCGGTGAGGTTTGAGTACGGCGACTCGAGCGTGTCCATTTCGGAGAGGAAGACGCCGAAGCTGTAAATGTCGGCCTTCTCCGAGTAGTGGCCGCCCGTCAAGACCTAAACTAGAGTCAGAAACCCCAACTCGATGGACATAGGACGTGTACCTCGGGCGCGATCCACGCGACCGTGCCAATGTTGGACGTCATCGTCTCTTCGTTGCTCGTGACGCGCGAGATGCCGAAGTCACTGAGCTTGGCCTCCCACGTAGCGCTAAGAAGCACGTTCTTGGACTTGAGATCGCGGTGGATGATGGTCGGCTGGAACGAATGCAAGAAGCAGAGCGCGTCCGCGACGTCGGCGGCAACAGCCGTCTTGGTCGTCGGGTGCACGCCAGTGGGGAGCCAGTGGAAAACGCGATCCTTCTTCGGGCGCTTGCGTTCTGCCTTGAGAAGGTCCGTGACATCGCCGTGGGGCATAAACTCGGAGAGGACCGCGAGATCGTGGAGCGTGGACCACGAGATACCGACAAACTTGACGATCTTGGGGTGCTCGAGGCGCGCGCAGAGACGGATTTCGTTCATAAATTCCTGTAGCCACACTTCAGAACTAGAAAATGAAGGAATAAATGTACCTGGATCGCGTTGTGGTCCTTGGCCTTGGACGGCAGTAGCTGCTTCATGGCCACGTCCGTGCCGTGAAGCGTCGCCTTGAAGACGACACCGTACCCGCCCTTGACAAGCAGCTGAATGTTTTGGATTTCTTGCTGAGGCACGCGGAAGCGCGCCAGGTCCATGTCGAAGCGAATGTCGTCGGCGACCGCGCCGCCGTTGGTCGCGTTCGGGTGCGTGAACTGCGACGACGCATTGTTCGAGTAGTAGCCCGTGCCCGTGTGGTTGCTCGACTTACTCGCCGCCTTCTGTCGGCGACGATAGACGATGAAGGCCACAATAAGAAGGATCAAGACGACGACGCCAGCGCCAATGCCAATATACGTCGTTGTCGAGCCCGAAGACGCGGGCTGCGGTGGCGACGGAAAGAGCACGCTCGGAAACTGCACCTTGCAGTACGCGATCGAGCTCGCATACTGTGTGAGGAACTGGTTGATGTAGTCGTCGGCGTTCTGGAAGTTGATGCCGCAAAATTGCTGGAAGGTCGGATGAGCCGAGAAGATGTTGGCGCACTGTGTGCAGCTGCTGATTTCAAATGTCGTGTTCGCAGCGGCACAGTCGGTCGACCGCTTCGCAAACGCCGAGAGCTGCTTCTGGCACGAATCCTTTAACAAGCCGACATGAGACGATGGCACGGAGCGACATCTCACGTACCGTGCAGTACGACGTAGGGTACACGCCGTTGTTGATAGCGTCGGCGGTGCCCGCGCAGCTCCCGGCCTTCCACGCTGCGGCGCTCGCGACGGCGGCGGCGCACGTCGTTTCGTTGCAGAACTGCGCGCCCATGCCGAGCGTGATGTTCTTGGGCGCGATCGTCGCCTGGCACGTCGCAGCGGTCTGCGTGTACGCGGCCTTGAGCGACGCGCAGTCGGCCGCCACGGACGCGACGAGCGCGGCCACGAAGACGAGACCTCGCATGTCGAATATCAAAATAATTAAACGCCTCCGACGGTCGCAACATCAGGTTTGTCCCACAACACACACGGCATACAAATAGCGAGATATTTCGGACCGGGGAAAGAAAGCCAGTGTAATAATACTTGGTGAATGTGGATTGGTTGTTGCTTCGAACTTCGAGTTGCCAAGCGTACGTACGACTGCACGTGTCCTTTTGGTCTGCGATGGGAGCGATTTGTTATTGGTAGTTGAAGCGACTAGAAGGCGAGATGTCCTCCTCGCAGAAGAAAGGTATCCTCGGATGGAAGGAATATCGATTATCATTATTCGCTCAACACACTAAGTACGTGTGCATCCCCCTTCGCTCCATTTTCAATTGTGTTGTTTGCGGTCGCGATGGATGCAAAATTGACAGCGTCCCACTGCAAAGCACGTCGACAACTCACATCGGCCTGCTCCAACCAACCCGATGCGCGTTGTCCGAGCGTCAACGTCGTCTCAGGGCTGGTTACAATCCTTTGATCGTGTCTGATGGCGCGGCTAAGATGCGATGGTTGCCGCAATCAGCTCCGCAATCCTTGTCCGATGGCAGGGTTGTGAGATCTCAAATTTTGGAGCTCGCAATGACGTACCGGGATAGTACAGAGATAGTAGCACGACCTTTGCCAAGCGTTTGCTTCCAAACACCCAGCAACCGTGACGGCTGACCTCGAGAAGCATTTCCGCGTTAATATAAAGTCATGATCATCGAACTGTCTACTGGTAGTTGTTCTCGTTCAAAATCTTGTGGAGCTTGTACGACAGCTGGATCGCCGACGGACGGTCGTTGTCGTGGAACGAGAGGCACTCGCGGGCGAGCGCGAGGAGCTCCGACGGCATCGACTCGGTGAACGACGGCTGCAGCTCGCCTTCGCTGACCATCATCGCCAGGCGCGCATTCGAGAAGCCGTTTTCGCTCGCCTTTCCGAGCAAATCTGCGTAAGGCACCTGGAGCGTATCAAGTTCGGCCATGAGCACGCCAAAGCTGTAGATGTCGGCCTTCTCCGTGTAGCGGCCGCCCGTGAGCACCTAGATGAGGCTTAGGAACCCTAGCCCTAGATCCATGCGTCGTACCTCGGGCGCGATCCACGCGATCGTGCCAATGTTGGACGTCATCGACTCTTCCAAGCTCGTGACGCGCGAGATGCCAAAGTCACTGAGCTTGGCCTCCCAGGTTTCGCTCAGAAGCACGTTCTTGGACTTGAGATCGCGGTGGATGACCGTCGGCTGGAACGAGTGCAGGTACACGAGCGCGTCCGCCGTGTCGGCCGAAATGGACGTCTTTGTTGCGGGAAAGCTACCTTGGGGAAACCAATGCAGGAGGCGCGAGCCCTCGGGTCTCTTGCGCTCCTTGCGAATGAGGCCCGTCACGTCGCCGTTCGACATGAACTCGGAGAGGACTGCAAGGTCCTGGAGCGTCGACCACGAGATACCGACAAACTTGACGATCTTGGGGTGCTCGAGGCGCGCGCAGAGGCGGATCTCATTCATGAAATCCTACGACGGTTAGCATGTTCTCTTCTGGGGTGATGGTACCTGGATGGCCGCGGCGTCCTTGGCCTTGGACGGCAGTAGCTGCTTCATGGCCACGTCCTGCTTGCCAAAGGTCGCGTGGAAGACGACGCCGTACCCGCCCTTGACAAGGAGCGAGATGTTTTGGATCTCTTGCTGCGGAATGCGAAACTGCGAGAGCTCGGCGTCGAAGCGGATGTCGTTGGCGACCCGCGTGTTGCCGGTTTGATTGGTCGTCTCGCCCGACCGGAGGCGCATCGAGTGGAGGTTCCCCGACCCATTCGTCGTGTTGCCGGCGCTCGTGTACACGTCCCCCTTGGGCGTCTTCTTGCGCAAGCACGCAAAGAGGACGGCTGCGACCAAGACAACGCCGACTACGCACCCAATCACGACGTACGTGGTGCTGTTGCTGTCGCTCGTCGAGGGCGGAAGCGTCGTCGGTGCCGGCGTAAAGCAGACGGCAGCGGCGGCTTTGATAAGTGGGTCGTTGCGCAGAGCCTCGACCGAGTCCAAGACCTCGCAAATCGCCCGGTACGCCTTCATCTCGATGACATAGTTCTTGCACTGGAAGCAGAGACCAAGCGCCGCCGCGCTCGTCGAGAGACACTGCTGGCGAATTTGCCGGATCTGCGTCGTCTTGTTGACGCATTCGGGCGAGCAGAGCCGCCCCGGTGTGAAGTACAGGCCGGCGACTGGCGTGCACGTCGAAAGGACGCTGTGTGCGATATCCATGGACGTAGTGCACGCCGGCGTCTTGCAGTACAGAGGGCTGGCGAGCATATTGTCGACGCCGCCCGTCACGTTGCTGCACTGGTAGAAGTGGGGCATGAACTTGGTCGCGTGCGTGACGTTGACGCTGGCGTCGCACACTGGGAGCGTCGCGTCGTCGCTTTGGCCGGCGACGAGGCCGGCGATGGCCAGAAGCGCGGTGTCGACGATGCGCATGCTGCAGCCGAAAGCAAAGTAGACGCCGTGAGCAGTTGTCGCAACGTCCACAATCAAACAACAGTCACCCACGCGGCGAAGCTCGAAGTTCAACTTTGCCGTCCCTGGCTTTGCGCGCGGCCGTCCTTTCTGCGTCGTGTCTACCAAGTCAAGGGAACGGCGAGTGGTGTTGTCGGCGAGAGGTGTTGTACAGTTATTAAAAGGCTAGTCATCTCCTACTGCTGGAGCAGCTTGTGCAAGCGGTACGACAGCTGCACGGCCGACGGACGGTCGTTGTCGTGGAACGAGAGGCACTCGCGGGCGAGCGCGAGGAGCTCCGACGGCATCGACTCGGTGAACGACGGCTGCAGCGCGCCTTCGCTGACCATCATGGCCAGGCGCGCGTTCGAGAAGCCGTTCTCCTTGGACTTGCCGAGCATGTCAGCGTACGGCACCTCGAGCGTATCAAGCTCGGCCATGAGCACGCCGAAGCTGTAGATGTCGGCCTTCTCCGTGTAGCGACCGCCCGTGAGCACCTAATCGTTGCGCAAGCGTTGACTCATCATGCTCCATGGAGATAGGACGTGTACCTCGGGTGCGATCCACGCGATCGTGCCGATGTTGGACGTCATCGACTCTTCCAAGCTCGTGACGCGCGAGATGCCAAAGTCACTGAGCTTGGCCTCCCAGGTTTCGCTCAGGAGCACGTTCTTGGACTTGAGATCGCGGTGGATGACCGTCGGCTGGAACGAGTGCAGGTACACGAGCGCGTCGGCTGTATCCGCTGCAATCGATGTCTTTGTAGCGGGAAAGACGCCGTCCGAGTACCAATGGAGGAGGCGCGAGCCCTCGGGTCTCTTGCGCTCCTTGCGAATGAGACCGGTCACGTCGCCGTTCGACATGAACTCGGAGAGGACTGCAAGGTCCTGGAGCGTCGACCACGAGATACCGACAAACTTGACGATCTTGGGATGCTCGAGGCGCGCGCAGAGGCGGATCTCATTCATGAAATCCTACGAGACATCGTCAGTACGATGTGGTGCTGTATTGCCAAGGTACCTGAATAGCTGACGAGTCCTTGGCCTTGGACGGCAGTAGCTGCTTCATGGCCACGTCCTGCTTGCCGAAGGTCGCGTGGAAGACGACGCCGTACCCGCCCTTGACGAGGAGCGAGATGTTTTGGATCTCTTGCTGCGGAATGCGAAACTGCGAGAGCTCGGCGTCGAAGCGGATGTCGTTGGCGACCCGCGTGTTCATGTGGTGCGCAGTCGACGATGGGTTGCCCGAGGTGCCGCCACCGTTTGACGAGTTGTTGCCCGAGTTGATCAAGTGGCGGTTCGAGCCGTTCGCGCGGTACGACTGTCCGTTGCTGCTGTACACGTCGCCCCGCGGCTTCTTGGTGCGAAGGCACGCAAAGACGACAGCACCCAATAGCACGACGCCTGCGATGCACCCGATCACGATGTACGTCGTGTTGTTGCTTTCGGACGACGTGGTCACCGGCGCCGTCGTCGGGTTTGTCTGCGCGTCGCAGATCTTGACCATGCCAAGCACGTCGACATCCTGGCGGATGGCCGCGGCGGAGTCCTGGATCTGGCACGTCGCGACGACGGACGAGACAGACGCCAAGTACTTTTTGCACGTGTAGCAGAGACCGTACGTCGTCGACGTGATTTTAATGCACTGTTGCCGATTCAGTCTCCACCCCGTGATCGCCTCGACGCACGCCGGGTCGCAGAACTTGCCTGGCACGACGGACGTCTCCGGCGTGCACTTAGACAAGATAGCACCGGCAGCCGTCGACAGTGATTGGCACGACGTTGACGCGCAGAAGAGCGGTGGGTTGGCGATGATGCCGGCCGGCGTCAAGGTCTGGTTCACAGCGGCGAGGCACGGGGCGAGTAGGGCCTTGTAGGGCTCGAGTAAGGTCGTGTTGTCTGCGCTAGTGCACGCAGGAAGCACGACATCGGACTGCCCGGCGGCGTGGCTAGCCGCCAATGCCACGAGCAGGAGGGAGCGGCGGGCCATCGGAAGAGGAGTGGTCATGCACTGGGCTGGGCAGAGGGAGACATGCGTTGCGTGTAATGCTACGACTCGAAGTTAATGGTTTTGATCGAAGATCGAAATGGCTTTGACGCCACTGTTTCTCAAAACCGTCTCACTCTCCACCTATATCTTGACCTTAGAAGCCGATGGAGACAGTATCGAGAAGTCTACGGGGCCGTACAAGCCGTACCGTACATTCAGCTGTACGGCGCCGCTTGTGGACAAAGCGTCTATGGGATGTCGTACATATTCACACAGTCTGGCACTGCGCTGAGACTCTCAATTTGCTCCACCGCCGATGGAGCTCGAGAGAGGCCGGGGCGATCCGTCGGACACGAGTGTTACGGACTGCGTTACAATGATACGTACACTAGACTGAACGCACTTTAGTGCCAGGACCACAATGCCCCTCTGATCTACGAGGCACCAGGCAGCGCTCACATAACGCTCGTATCCAGGTTTGACTTGATATCCTATGAGCGTACCCTTGCCTTCACCATTTTCGAAGCTACACCCTTCGGACGATGACTTTAGATCATGGCTTTGCTCGATACACGTGGTACACTGTACACAGACTTGGCATCGCTGTTAAAAGCGCGATTAAAGGTTCTTGACAATCGTGTGGATCTTGTACGAAAGCGTCATGGCCGCGGGGCGCTCGGCCGGGTCGAACGCCAAGCACTCCTGCGCGAGATCGTGGATCGCCTCGGGGATGCGGTCGCTGAACGCAGGGCGAAGCGTGCCTTCGCTCACCATCATGGCGATACGCGCGTTCGAGAACTGAGCGTCTTTGGACTTGCCCGACATGTTGGAATACGGCACTTCGCACGTGTCGAGCTCCGAGAGGAGCACGCCGAAGCTGTAAATGTCGGCCTTCTCCGTGTAGCGGCCGCCCGTCAAGACCTAAGAGACTACAGTCAGAAACCCAAGGTCGATGGAAATAGGGTGTGTACCTCGGGCGCGATCCACGCGACCGTGCCAATGTTTGACGTCATCGACTCCTCGACCGTCGTGACGCGCGAGATGCCAAAGTCGCTGAGCTTGGCGGTCCAGTCGTCGCCGAGAAGCACGTTCTTGGACTTGAGATCGCGGTGGATGATGGTCGGCTGGAACGAATGGAGGTACACGAGCGCGTCGGCAATGTCGGCTGCAATCGCGCCCTTGGTTGTCGAGCACTCGCGGCTACAGCCCGAGTTCCAGTGGAGAAGGCGGTGGCCCTCAGATTTCTTGACGTCCTTCTTGAGGAGCGTGCTTACGTCGCCTACGGTGAACGCGAATGAGCGCATACCACGGGAGGGACAATGTAATACCCCGCGACATGAACTCGGAGAGGACCGCGAGATCGTGGAGCGTGGACCACGAGATACCGATAAACTTGACGATCTTGGGGTGTTCGAGGCGCGCGCAGAGAC